TATACCTAATGTAAATGACGAGTTAATGGGTGCAGCACACCAACATGGCACATGTATACATATGTAACAAACCTGCACATGTATACGTATGTAACAAACATGTACCCTAGAACTTAAAGTATAATAAAAAAGAAAAAAAAATTCCTGAAATTTAAAAAAAAAAAAAAACAATGGGAAAAAGGCTGATATTGCCCAATAGAAAAACGGGCAAAAGACTTGAATGGACACTTTAAAAAAAAACACTCTCTAGGTACCCAATAAGTATATGAAATGGTACTTACTCCATTGTATTAGTCATTAGGAGAATGCAAATTAAAATCATAATGTGATATTTCTGAACACACATCAGAATGGCTAAATTGACAAAGAAAAAAATAAATGCCAAGTGGTGAGAATGTGAAATAACTTGAATTTTCATACACTGTGAATAAGAAGGTAAAACAGCCCAGTCACTTTGGAGAACTGAAAGTGTCTACAAAGCTTAATATACACACACCCAGAATTCCACTTGGTATGGTATATATGTAACAGAAAAATACATATATGTGCTCACTAAATGATATGTACAGGTCTTTGATGAACGTACATATGCTATTCAAATATACAGATTCAGATATATAGTGAATATATGTACATATATAGGAATATATAACATGAATATAAATGTCATGAATATATACATACACACACACATATATATATACTGAAAATACCCAAATGTCCATTAATCATAGATAGGTTTATTTTAATTTAGTCATCCCATGTAATACTACATAGTAGTGAGAATGAGCCAACTACAGTTAAGTGCAACAGGATATGATTCTGAAAAACATTAAACAAAAGATGGAAGCAAAAGAGAATATAAAATTCTAGTTTTCATAGTTCGAAAACAGGTAAAACTAATACATGGTGTTTCAAGTCAGAATAGCGGTTACCCTTGAGGGTCTCGGCAGCGACTGGAAAGGGGTCCTAAGGGGGTTCTCGGAAGCTACTAATCTTGATCTGGGTGCTGGGTGGATGGTCATATTCACTTCGTAAAAACTCATTAAGGTCCTATATTCATGATACATGCACTTTTCAGGATTTATGTTACAGTTAAATCAAAAGTTTACTTTATAAAAATGAGAGATAATACCAAAGACTATTTGAAAAGCACACTCACTAGTAACCAAAAACGTGAATATTTAGATAAGGCATTATTATGACCAATTAAATAAAATCAGTAAGCAAGTATTTACTGAGTCCCTGCTACGTGCCATAAAGTATGTTAGGACTAGGGATACAACAAGACAGACAAATGTTTACTCTTCAGCCTCATGTAACTCACCACTGAAATTTTTTAAAAGAAAGAAAGAAGAGAAGAAAGATGAGCAAGCCTAAAATGCTAAAAATGAATAATAATGCATTTTTCATGGCAGCACAAACTGATGTTATTCTTTTGACAAGAAATTTGGCACTATATATCACGATATTTAAAAATATCCATCTGCTCAATGAATTATTAAAAAATAGATGCAAATCGTATCTAGTAGATGACAACTACGTAAAAAATACCCTTATGCACAGAAAAAAATGAAAAAATATATATCAAAATGTCTTTTTTTTTTAATTCACCATTTTCTAAAAGATCTTTAACAAGGTCACATTATGAAAAACAAATCAACCATAATTTCCTATCTAATACCAAAATGCATTTTATATATTAGATATTTTTCAGTATCCTTCAGGGTCTTCCTAATATGCATATTTTCAAAGGGGAGTCTAATGAAAAGGTAAACCCTGTTTAAAAACAAATCAATAGACCTTTTTCTTTATGACAACCTAAATGTTATCCCTACATAGTTATGTGAGAGTTGAAATCCCACAAAGTAAATATCCAACATCAGATTTTTCTTTAAGGAGATTTTAAAACTGCCCACTTTCTCTCAGACATCTGTTTGGTCATAAAATGCCTAGAGGAAAGTAGATATAGAAAGGAAAAGGCTTTTCAGCAAATTCACTCTAACACCATTTTCTAATAAGTTTACTGCTGAAGCTCCAGTCTAAAATCAAAAGATTCATTCACCAGAAGAGAAGAAAGGGCATCTCAATAAAACAAAACCAGATATAAAGAGGAGAAAAGCATTTGAATGCATTTCTAAACAAAATAAACATGAAGAGTAATACTAAAAATCTGAGTAATGCTAACCTAAAATAAACTAAGCCATTTTGACTGTCTGGACTGAGGAAACAGTATCAGGAAAAAATCTTGACAAAAATCTAAACCAGACAGAGTAGACAAGAAACTAAAGCCACACAAGAGGAGTCAAAGAGACAGGAGGAAAGTAAGGAGCACCCAGGCACCAGAGCAAGGAAGAGACTAACACTGAGGCACGTCCTCTGTACTTGGTCTGCAGGAGGCTGCCTTTGGCATCGGCAGCTGCAGTGGGCTAGGGACAGTTAGAGGGGGTCTGGCACTGAAGCAAAACTTGGTTGTGAATGGACAAGGGCACTGGAGAAAGCCAGACTCCGACAGGCTCACTGCAGGGCTCTCAGGCATGAGGGAGACAAGGGCTCCTGACCAAGGGAGACAAGGGTTCCTGACCGAGGGAGACAGGGGCTCCTGCCCATGGGAGGACAAGAGGCATAAGGAGGACAGCATGAACACAGGATTGAAATTCTTTAACTGCTGATACTGGGTGGAAAGGTTACACAAAGAAAAGCTCCCCAACCAAGATTATAGACCGCAGATTTATAGCAGCAGCTATGTTTTATTCTCCAGTATTACTGAGCGGCCCACACACAGAAGAAAAGGCAAGCAGTTGGATTGATGACATTAACTTGGAGATGGTGGCCATATAAGCAGCTGAGACAGCTAGGACTGACAGGATAAATGTCAGAGCACAGGACCTGGTGGGGAAGGCAAAGGAAAGTAGCCGTACATAAGGAGAAGATGGAAGATCCAAGTAGAAGCAAAAGGCAATAGGGACACGAGAGGCTAGACTGAAGGATATCACCAGAAAGTGAGACACTGGAGTCAAATTCTAGGGAGAAATTAACGTAGGGTGGTGGCGTGGTCCAAGGTTTTTATCTTAAGATTAAGCGATTGAGTGGTGACAATCATTACAGTAGAAAAAGTCAAATAATTATATAGTTCAGGGTAGAATCGTAAGTGAAGTTAACCAGGCTGGTAACAGAACCTTGTAGAGAGAGGAAACCGTAAGCCAGGTTTCACAGCACTTGATAAAGCAGGTAATTGACTAGGAAATAAATAAAGAAGGAGTGGGAATAGGGTGGCAGAAGCCTCAAGGAGAAAGATTTTGCAATCAAAAAGGCAACCAAAAGATTTCATTAAATATATATATATATATATATACACACACATATATATATATATATATATTTTTTTTTTTTTTTTTAATTTTAGAGACAAGGCCTTGCCATGTTGCTCATGCTGGTCTCAAACCCCCACTGGGCTAAAGTGATCCTTCCTTCTCAGCCTCCCAAATAGCTGAGACTATAGGTACATGTCACTAAACTGACTCTAAGCATTTTTAAAAATACCAAATATAATGCCAAATATTACAGTTGGATTCTTTTTAAAAAATTAGAAAAGTTAAAATATTGCTTTTAAAAACTGTCATATATTTCCTTATATATTTTATTGGGAGAAAAAATTATTTTATATCTTTTTTTCACTGCAAAATGAATTCAAACACATGTCAAAAGACAGGAAAAAAATCACTATAATCCTACTACCTTAATGCAACTATTATTACAGTATTTTTTGCGGCACAGTTATAATCATATTACATTTAAAATGTTATTGTTTTCCAATTAGCCATATACATTTTTTAAGCCACAATCATTTTTCCACATTAACACATCTGCATGATGTTTTGTCAAGTAGATTTCTAAAATTTATAAATCCGTTCTTCCATTGTTCATCTAATTTGGGCTACCATAATTTATGCAGGGACATAAATCCACATGTATATTTTACATTTCCATGCCTAACCTGAGAAGTAGATAATTAACAGTACCTAAGGTGGAAAAGTTGTCCCTGAAGATTGAAAGGAAAACGGCAAGCTTATTTTCAGATGCACTATCTCACCAGGTCACTGACAAGCCAGAAGATTTACCTGGAAGAAATCTTACAAAACGTGGCATGAAATGAAATCTTGGGCAGCAGGGAGGACTGTCTTCAAACAAAGGACCTGAAGCAAACAAATGAGAGAAAAAAAAAAAGAAAAGAAAACTCAAACAGTCTTAAAAAACAAGCACTGCAACTTAATTTCTAAGATTTATGATAACCACAAAAACTACCACCAGAAATAAAGGCATAAAAAATACCACTACCTCCTGCCACTCTTCCTCAGTGGCTAAATCAATCATTGGTAACTGCCACAAGTACCCAAGGACGACTGCAATGAGGAGACTAAGCGAAGGCAAGAAGAGGATGAAAGCCCCAAGCGCAAATATATATAGTAAAATTATTTTTAAAATTCAAAGTTATCAAGACTAATTATAATTGAATTATTACATGATATAATGTGACTAAGTGTTCATTCTTTCCCATTTTAATCACTACACTAAAAAATGTTGAGAAATGCTATCAGTTTGAAAAGCCATTCATCAATAAATAAGTAACTGTTTGTTAGAATACAGATACTTCCAAAAGAGTAAGCTACTATCCAAGAACCAAGCATCAAGTCTTTGAATTAATCTAGTTCACTCTAAGTATCTGCATGTGTGCATCTGTGTGTGTGTGTGTGTTTTTGTTTTTTTTTTTTTTTTTGAGACGGAGTCTCGCTCTGTCGCCCAGGCTGGAGTGCAGTGGCCGGATCTCAGCTCACTGCAAGCTCCGCCTCCCGGGTTTACGCCATTCTCCTGCCTCAGCCTCCCAAGTAACTGGGACTACAGGCGCCCGCCACCTCGCCCAGCTAGTTTTTTGTATTTTTTAGTAGAGACGGGGTTTCACCGGGTTAGCCAGGATGGTCTCGATCTCCTGACCTCGTGATCCGCCCATCTCGGCCTCCCAAAGTGCTGGGATTACAGGCTTGAGCCACCGCGCCCGGCCTGTGTGTGTGTGTTTTAATGACTAACCAAAGTTTTGCATTTAAATAAACTTCCATCTTAGAAGATTTATTGCAGCAAAGTTTACTAGATTTAAAATATTAACTAATGGTAATTTCCCAGGTACACATATATCGAGGTAGTTACACATAATAACTGGTATCATCTTTAAGCTGCTACCAGCTAATAATAAGCACTGTCAAACTGTATAAAGTAAAATCCATAGAAACTTATTCATGTCAAATGATAACAAGCATTCCTGTGAATAACACTTTTCTCTGGGTATTTAAAAAGTAAAAGAAATTTCAACTATCTCCCTACAATTTTTATAAGAGTTTTCACATATACCATAGCATTCTTCTATAAGCATTACTCTCTTCTTTAAATCCTATTACTCACCTTTAAGATTCCAGTCATACAATTCCAAAATATCTCTGAATAGGAACAGTGAAAAGAGTTCAAGCCCTTTCACACAAAAATTCTGAAAAATAAACCAAAATTAAATTACTGTAAATTGGCAAAATATATATTAACTGAAGGTTCAACTTGTTCTTGTCAAGTGTCTTTAAAAATGTCTGTTAAAACTATACTAAGACCATATAGTTTTCTGAAAAGTTTAGCCACTGATCACTAGTTTCAGACGGAAATGAAATAGACAATAATGCCATTAGGATTCCTTAATGTCAACTTAGCCCTTCTCAGTATACAAATAAAATGAGAAATTTTTTAAAAAGTAAAGTCTCACTTATATTAATATATTTTTCTAATTCAATTATAAACTGTGTGAGAATCTTCTGAGGATGTTTTGTTAATTCAGATTACACATATGCACCTGATAGGCTTGTCCCCGACCCCCGCCTCACACATCCAGAATAACGGTCATGGAGTTACAAAAAAAAAGAGGTCATGTGTACCCAAAAAGTTCAAATTCATAATGAATGCAAATAAAGGGCTAAGAAAAACTATACAACTCTGCACCAAAATTTCTCCTGTAAACAAGCTAAACAGATGATATATTTGCAAGTGAGACTTATCTCATAATTCTTCCTCCTCCTAGTTTTGCTCGGGGTTCATAAATTACCCTGCGTGAGATCACGCCAAAAGTCATAAACTTTTACAATAGCAAATGAAGGTATATGACCTTAAAAACCAAAAGGAAGTTAAAAAAAAAAACAAATCCCTTCTAGAGCAGAAGAATGAAGGGGTGGTTCTTTTTATTTAATTCTTTTTGAAAGGAAGGTACAATGAACAAGACTTGCTCAGAATGAAACAGGTGCCAACTAGGCACACATGTCATGCCCATCAATTTCCCCCTCCATGCTCCCTGCCCATGACAGAGCTGTCCCATTAAACAAGGTTTGTAAGCAGAGCCAGGGGCTCCGGAAATTGACCCTGACTCCAACACAATGGTAAGTGCACAAGCTTGTTTGCTGTCTAGTTGTTATTTCTTAGTATGATTTGTCGGCACCACTAAATTCAAGATCAGACTATGAATCATTCTGAGATTCACATTAATCTTCCTTTGGAATTTTAAATCTCTTGCATATATTTAGATAAATCTGCTGCTGAGCACCCGCAATGAAAAACAATTAGGAAAAATATGTAAATATATGGGAAGAAAAATGAACCAAGCATTGATCTTGTCATTGGAGATAATGAGTGAGATGATTACAACAGCTATCAGATTGTTTCACTATTCCAATCTCCCCTCTGATAACGACCAGTAACCAAAATCTGTCCCCTACGTAAAAGAAACTAGAAACAGATGTAAAGTTAATATCAGCAGATGTAACACAAGGAGAAATGGGTTCAAAAACAGGTCAACAAGTTGGAAATTGGCCTGAATTTTAACCTTGATATTAGAACTACATTTAACTGACTCTTTCAACAGTGAATATGATACTTTAGAGATATTCCTGGCAAAAGCCAGATCTGGCCAAGTTCAATGTTTTAAAATAGTAGTGTGGAATAAGCAAAAGAGCAAACGACATCAAACCATTACACAATCTTTTCCCTTACCTCTGGCATCATCTCTTCAATGAAATGAATCGTGTAGTCTATGTTGAATCTAATTACTTTACACAGTGGAATCTGCAATAAAAAGAAGTGAGGTTCAGTTCCCCAACATCTCCCTGCAGGCTCATATTACACACGTTTGTTACCTGACCCAAAAGGCCACGAACCAAATGAGAAGGCTTCACCTTCATCTCAGTGGCTAACAACACTGCACATGAAGCCTGACCACAACTGCTGGATTTTAATGACAAGAACCTAGCTGTCCTGGCCTCTCCAAGAAACCTGCATAATGTAGTGCTTAATTAACAGGATTAGCAGCAGCAACACAAACATAACAAGAGCCCATTAAAACCACACATATCACATCTAAAGAATTAATAAAACCATAACCATAAACATTTCTGTTTCTCAAGTTTTTAAAATATTTTAGAATCTCTGGCTCCTTAGGCAGATCAGGGATAGTAGGGTGATAACTCATCAATTATGGATTCATAGGTCACTGAAAACACCCAATTCATGCTGCCCAGCTGGTTCGTGAGCAAAGGCAATTGTGGTAATAAATATAATAATAACAAGTGATAATAAAAATAATAATAGCTAACATTTTTTGAGCCAGGCACTGTCCCAAATGCTTCACAATATTCATTCATGTAACCATCACAACATCCCTATGACATAGGTTTGGCTACCATGTCCACTGAACAGTGCAGGAAGCTAAGGCAGAAGTACCATCCCTAAGGTAACAGCTAGCTCAGTGACTGGAAAGTCTTCCTCTAGACCCCAGCTCTTGGCCACTAGAGTATACCCTTCTCATTACCTGTTCTAACACTCAGGATACATGTGAAAACGAAGGAAGGCTAAGCATAAAATAAATCCACACCTATCTTACTTTACCAATGTATCATCAGACAATTGCCTACTGCCTACAAATAATAGGTTTTCCGTAAATATATTTTTGAATGAATTAAAGAATAAGAAAGGGAGGGAGAAAGATTACTGCAGAGAATTGGCTGGCTAGCTGGGGAAAATAACAGACTCAGAAGTCCCAAAGATGCGTTAACTGAGTTTTTCTGGCTGCTTAATCTGTCCATAAGATGATTTTATATAGATGTAATCATTTTCATAAACCATAGCAATCAGAAAGAAACAAACTTTAATTCTATCAGTGAAAGGGATGGTAAGAAAAACAGAAAAATAGTCTTATAATGCCATCTACTGGAAATCTTTTTCTGAGATACAAAGTTTAGTTATTGGGAGCTTTTCCTTTTTATTCTAAAGAACAGTGGTTAATTTGAGGGAAACTCATAATAGCCATTATCATTTTTAAGTTCTACTTTGTTCTTATAATCATTTAAAAATATTTAAGAGTTACAAAATTTTGCATGATTCAACATATTTTTAAAATACCTACTCTTTGCTAACAACTACATTAGATTCACAGGTACTCTAAAATAAGCTACGGGTCCTATCTTAAGAGGTAAAGATGTATAAGAAGAAAGGCATGTAAGTAAATACAAACAGAATACAACGCAATGTAACTTCTAAGTTCAATTAAAAAACAAACAAGCAACCAAAAAAAGTATAAAGTGCAAAAGAACCAAAGAGGAGGTAACATATGAGTTGTCTTCAAAGATGGAGAGGGGCTGGGCATGGTGGCTTATGCCTATAATCCTAGCACTTTGGGAGGCTGAGCAGGGTGGATCAACTGAGTTCAGGAGTTCAAGAACAGCCTGGCCAACATGGCAAAACCCCGTCTCTACTAAAAATACAAAAATTAACTGGGCATCGTGGCGGGCATCTATAATCCCAGCTACTCGGGAGGCTGAGGCAGAAGAATCGCTTGAACCCAGGACGTGGAGGTTGCAGTGAACCAAGATCGTGCCACTTCACTCCAGACTGGGCAAAAGAGCGAAACTCCATCACAAAAAAAAAAAAAGATGGGGAGGGGAGGAATTTTCCAGGCCATCCAGAAAAAGTTGAGGCAGAGCAGCTGTTTAGCTTCTAGCAAAATGGAGGAAAGGGAGCTGAGGAAGGAAGTAGTAATTTCACGGTTCAGACAGAAGTACGTGGAGAGAGAGATGCCAGGTGATCTAGAGAGGAAAATATGAACTCTATTATGCAGCCTTTACAAACCATGTTAAGGTCAGGGCTTATGGATATATGGCAAGAAGAAATCATTCAAGTACTTTAAGTTAGAGATTATCATCATCTACATTTCAGAAGAGACACTGTGGAAACAGTGTTGGAATGGCTTGTAAGGGAACAAAGAAGACCAGACTGAAGTCTAATGCAATAGTCCAGGAGCCAAATGAAGGGAAGACTGGAAAGGAAGAAAAAAATTTTAAACACAGGAGATATTACTGAAATATACAGTGACCATTCTGATGTGGAAGGAAGAGTGAAGAAAGAATTGAGGATCATTTCTGGGTTTCTGGCTTAAGTGACCAACTAGGTCACTTAATTTAGGAGGGTGTCCCCTGAGTACCTCAAATTCAATATGTAGGAAAGATGACGCACAGGTTGAGGGTAAAGTATCTGAGGAAACATCAAGGAGGTTCATTTCAAAAGGCAATCTAAAATGTGAGAGTGGAGTATTAATACAGAGGTACATGTCACAGCTATAAATATTAATCTGGTGGGGATCAGAATATGCATGGGTGGAACTGAATTACTCAGACAGTACATAGGAGAGAAAACAACGGGAGCTCTTGGGAATTCTCAAGAGGTAGGCAGAAGCAAATGTGCAAACTTTCCTCCTTGCTATCATAGGAAAAAGCACCCTGCTTGATGACTTATGCATGTACAGTCCTTTTCCTATTTCATTTTAAGTAAAATCACTTCTTGGAATTCCTTCTCTGACCTCTTCTCTTTGTATATACTTTATTTTCTTTTGGGCTTCCATCCATACCACCAGAGCCATTCTCAGACACACAAATTTGGAAAGGCAGGATCTCCTCATCTATTCAAACTGTGATCTCTCTAAGTGTCAAAGAGAGCTTGTTATTTTGCTACACAATGGTCAACCAAAAAACTGTAATTTCAAAGATCACCAAAATACCTCCCAACAAATGCCATCAAATAATATAAATGACTACTATCATGTTTGAATACTTAAAAGTAAAGACTATCCTATACTGACTTATACTCCTATCTCACCCTAGCAAAAAACCCAAAAAACTAAAAAACTCTCCAAACCTCCATCTTCTAACTCTACTATTTCCACATACTGATTGACCAAATCCAGGCGTCAGCAAGTCCACTCCAAATGGGAAGCCAACTAAAGTGGGAGGGAAATGATCCAGGGGTTTTCCTGTGCTTTTGGGAATATGACAAAATACTATGTAACTCATACATATATCTTACATTTTTTTTCTTTTTTTGAGACGGAGTTTCGTTCTTGTCGCCTAGGCTGGAGTGCAGTGGCGGGATCTCAGCTCACTGCAAATTCCGCCTCCTGGGTTCAAGCGATTCTCCTGCCTCAGCCTCCCAAGTAGCTGGGATTACAGATGCCTGCGACAATGCCCAGCTAATTTGTGTATTTTTGGTAGAGACGGGGTTTCACCATGTTGGCCAGGTTGGTCTCAAACTCCTGACTTCAGGTGATCTGCCTGCCTCAGCCTCCCAATGTGCTGGGATTACAGGCATGAGCCACTGCACCTGGCCCTTTTTCTTTTTTTTTTTTTAAGAGATGGGGTCTAGCTCTGTCACCCAAGCTAGAGTTCAGTGAGGCAATCAGCTCACTGCAGCTTCAAACTCCTGGGCTCAAGTGATCCTCCCACATCAGCTTCCACAGTAGCTGGGACTCAGGCCATTTTGAACTCCTGGCCTCAAGCAATTTGCTTGCCTTAGCCTCCCAAAGTGCCAGGATTACAGGTGTGAGCCACCACACCTGGCAAATACACATCTTTAAAACTTCAGATAAGTTGTCAAAGCTCTTAACATCAGGTATTATAACAAATGTGCTACATAAAAAGGTAAAATTCTCCCAGAATGCTCTATACTCAGCCAACAAGGCTTTCAATCCACTTCAAGACCTTAAGAGAACTTGTAGAACTAGATTTGGTGGAGATTCTATCATTACCATCATTTGCATGACATTCTTTCTGACATTCTCTCTCTAGCAAGAAAAGGAATCAGACTGGTAAAGCAGTTTAACAATTTTTTTCCTTAGGAGGCTATTTCAAATTCAAGAGGCCTTTGATGGATCTAATTCCTATGAACTGTACAACACTCAGCTTAAAACTCAATTTATTTTTATCAACATCTCTAATATAAATGATGGGGTTTGTCATAGAATAAAGTTCTCATCGAGAACTTGAACATTTACATAAAACATATGCTGAACGGCCAGGCGCGGTGGCTCAAGCCTGTAATCTTAGCACTTTGGGAGGCCGAGACGGGCGGATCATGAGGTCAGGAGATCGAGACCATCCTGGCTAACATGGTGAAACCCCATCTCTACTAAAAAAAATACAAAAAATTAGCCAGGCATGGTGGCGGGTGCCTGTAGTCCCAGCTACTTGGGAGGCTGAGGCAGGAGAATGGCGTGAACCTCAGAGGCGGAGCTTGCAGTGAGCTGAGATCCGGCCACTGCACTCCAGCCTGGGCGACAGAGTGAGACTCTAGGGAAACCAAAAAAAAAAAAAAAAAGAAATATATATATATATGCTGGAGCCAGAAATTTTTTCTGTCCTTTTGTTTTATAATGACAGTAATGACTGTGACTAATTTAGCATCAGTGGCCTCTCAAGTCAAACCTTGTGCTGGGGAACGTTTTTAAAAATGATGTTTTCTATTCACTTTTGCTATAAACCTAAAACTACTGTTTGTTTTTTATTAAAGTCCGTATTTTTTAAAAATTATGTCTGATTCTCACTAAAACCCCAAGCATTGCTATCATTAATGAAGTTCAAAGAATTCACTTGTCCAAGGTAAAAAAAAAAAAAAAAAAAAAAAAAAGGATTAGAAGATTCAAACCCAACTCTGTCTGAAATCCTTTCCAAAGAGAGAAGTGCCAATACTTATTATGTGCCAAACACCATGATAAACACTTTTCATGTGCCATCTTATTTATTTTTCACAAAAGCCAATGAGATTGCTCCAACTAATACCCTCATCTTACAGATGACAAAGCCAAAGCTTACACAGATTGAAATGTCAAATCACAGAGCTATCACTAATTTTAAACCCTGGTCTCTCTAAAGCCACACTGCTATCCTTCTTTGTTTAAGGTGATCCTAAAAGTCAAAATAAGATCTCTATTAATTCTAGGGAATCAAGAAATAAGATGAAGAATAGTTTTAAGTATTTTCATGCTAACTAAATTCTGTGTATTTATAAGTCCTTTGTGGGGAAAAAGAGACAGGCAGTAGATGGTTGGGGGTGGAGGGTAATCAACTCTAAGGCTACGAGATTTGGTGAAACAAAGAGTTTGAAAGTTTGTGACACTTAAAAAAAGAAAAAAAAGCAAAGAAATCATGAAAATTCAGAAACCTCTTAGTACCTTTCCATAAAGATTATTTAACAATGGCCTAATATTATTGCTTTTCTACATTTCTTTATTTATTTGAGACAGTTTCACTCTTCTGCGCAGGCTGGAGTGCGGCAGCACGATCTTGGCTGACTGAAACTTTTGCCTCCCAGGTTCAAGTGATTCTCATGCCTCAACCTCTCAAGTAGCTGGGTTTACAGACGCACACCACCACCCATAGCTAATTTTGGATTTTTAGTAGAGACATGGGGTTTCACCATGTTGGCCAACCTGGTCTCGAACTCCCGACCTCAAGTGATCCACCTACCTCGACCTCCCACAGTGCTGGGACTACAGGCGTGAGCCACCGTGCCCGGCCCATATTATTGCTTTTCTACATTAGTGAACAACAGATGGTCCCCTCTGAAGAAAAACGTAATATATATTATCAAATGATTTTATTTTTACATTTACAATGTAATCATCTTCTCAAAGAAAATTCTCTAGAATAAAAAATACTGTGAAATAAAGAAAATCTCATTAGGAAAACAATTTGTCTTAAATTAGCATCACTGCTATGGAATCATATCTACTTATACGAAAAAAAATGACAAAAAAGGCTAAGGTAGGGCAAAGATCTGAGTCTTAACTGTACTCTCCAATGGAACTGAATTTCATCTGTGAAGTAAACAGTACTAAAATAATTTTTCAAATTGCAGATGTAATTTCATGTAACCAAACCAGAAAAGGCTAAACAACATTCCATTTGATGTGGATATATAATAGCTACAATTCAATAAGTTCTACAACAGCATCTGTACTGGGTCAAGTACACTGCCACACATCTCTTCCTGTGCCACTGCCAGCCAATTCACTCTACATCCAACTGGAGTAAGAAAGACAATTCCTGGGACTGCCAGCATGGCGATGGAAAGATTCTGACTCATGGATCAGGAACTTCCATTTGAACCAATTACCAACAAAGCAGACTTAATACCTGTATAAAAATATCATGAATCCATATGTCAAAGTCTCTTGAAGACACACTCCTGGGATTCAAAAGCAGAAAATGTACTTCATGAATTCAGGCTCCGAATGTCCTGAATAAGCTCTGTTTCTTTTGCTCAGAGACTAAACAATGGCTTCTCCTTAAAACTTTCCAACTTTCTTTTGAAGGACAACCAACCCAAAATAGCTTTAACACATTACTCCACAGTTTATCCTCCTTTTCCAAGCTTTCACACTCTCAAAATGTTACTCTGACACATGTTTACTTACAGCATTTAATGCAGACCGAACCTGTGACTCATTAGCACAGACGTCACACTGCCACCTGACGCACTGCTGCAGACTTCCTGCAGCTCATTCACGTTACAGAGGGACGCAGAGGAAACGTTTCTTAGGAGGCAGATGACAGGAAATGTTTTGACTTTTGGAAAGAAGGGATAAAGGAGGTAGAAGGAAAGAGAAAAGCAGCCAACTAGCACATACTTACATTGGTCAGGGGGGCATGTGCAAACATAGAAAATCCTTCAAAGATATACTCGTGATCATCGTATTCTATGACAGTTGGCCTGTCAGTCTAAAAGCAAACAGAAACATGAACCCCAAATTAAATAAATGACACGGTTTGCATGTGCAGAAATCCATCAGGACTCAAAGTAACCAACAGAACATAAGGACTTCCTTTCAGACACCAGAGAGAACTTTATACAAAGTTTAATTTTACATGAAATTCTCTGGCTTCAGATAGTAAGTATAATATTTACGTACTTAGACAATTAATGATGTAATATTATAGGTGCCATAAATAAATAAAAGGCTATATTAAGCTTCATTTTCTAAGAACTTGTTTTATTTACTCTCACAATACTACCAGTTCTGTTCTTAATGAACTATGTTTCTGAACTAACAGAAGTCCTAACAGGAGCAAGGTAAATAATACAGCTGACTCAAATGCGAAGTGGAAAAAGACTCAGCATCATAGAGTGGAGACTAGCAACAGCCTAGAAGTCTCTGAAAGGCCTCTGGGTGCCAGAAGGTCAACCCCTCATAGCTCTACTCCCAGCCTCTCCAAGAACTCAACCAACCAAACACTGCAAAAAATCAATTCCCATACAAGTTCAAAGGCCTTAATTCCCAGAAAATTGGATTTGTAACTAAATAATACATATATCAATCTAAGCACAAGGGACTCTATTCCTTATGCCATTCTTATAACCCAACATTGTGTGTGTGTGTGTGTGTGTGTGTGTGTGTTTGAGATGAAGTCTCACTCTGTTGCCTAGGCTGGAGTGCAGGGGCATGATCTTGGCTCACTAGAAACTCCGCCTCCCAGGTTCCAGCAATTATCATGCCTCAGCCTCCTGAGCAGCTGGGATTACAGCCATGTGCCACTATGCCAGGCAAGTTTTTGTATTTAGTAATGGGGTTTCACCATCTCTACTAGGCTGGTCTCGAACTCCTGACTTCAAGTGATCTGCCTGCCTCGGCCTCCCAAAATGCTGGGATTACAAGCATGAGCCATGAGGCCCAGCCATTTTTAACCTTAAATGCTAAATATGGCAATAATTATTAAGACTGATGGCCTATAAGACAAATTTCTAACACAGATACTAGATTTCATTCTTTTAAACATTATCTCTTAAGAACAACTTGGAATAAGGGGGAACAAAAGAATATCGAAATATATATTATTTGTTTTGCCAATATTATTGTTAATTTATATTTGAAAAACTTAACAAAGACGGTCTAAATTAAATAAAAGAGAGCCAGGCACAGTGGCACATGCCTGTAATCCCAGCTACTTGGGAGGCTGAGGCAAGAGGATCACATGAGGCTGGAGTCCAAATTCAGCCTGGGCAACAAAGTGAGATCTCACCTCTGAAAAAAGAAAAAAATAATGAGCAAAAATGGTATAGCCACTTTGGAAACAGTTTGGCATTTCTTCAAAACATTTTTTGTTGTTGTTGTTGTGCAGGCTGGAGTGCAGTGGCGCGATCTTGGCTCACTGCAAGCTCTGCTTCCTGGGTTCAGACCATTCTCCTGCCTCAGCCTCCCGAGTAACTGGGACTACAGGTGCCCGCCACCATGCCCGGCTAATTTTTTGTATTTTTAGTAGAGACGGGGTTTCACCATGGCGCCCGCCAGCACGCCTGGCTAATTTTTTATATTTTTAGTAGAGACGGGATTTCACCGTGTTAGCCAGGATGGTCTCGATCTCCTGACCTTGTGATCCGCCCACCTCAGCCTCCCAAAGTGCTGGGATTACAGGCGTGAGCCGCTAGGCCTGGCCGTTGTTCACTAATTTTTAAGAGATGTGGAAGTGTTCTATATTTTCTTCCCACTCCATAGCTCCAACATTGTTGGCTACTATGAATTTGGCTATTAAGTGATGCCAACAATATTTAATGAAAAAAAGATATAGTAGTATAGTGAAGAGGAAGCTGAAAGAAACATCATCGTGATAAAGATCAATTTCTGAACATAAAAATATTTTTCAAAGTAAGAACATTTAAGAACGGAATCAACAACTTTAGCCTATTCACATTTTACTCTATTTACATTTTAAATGATATGCATGTGATTCTTCAGAAACTTACTAAGAAGTTCGTAGGCGGGGAGACTGTGATCCGGTAGTGGAAAAGTCTGCCAGCATTGTTGGTCATAGGACGACAGGGCTTGATAGCCTGAGGGGAAAAAAACGAAAATCAGTTTACAAGTAAAACAACAGAATATTTTTACTTAAAAATATATTGTATTTCCTAGATTCACATCTAACAAAAGAGATTTTATGTCTGTTCCTTCACAGACTGGTAGGAAAGAACAGTACTGACTTTGCCATACCTAGACCAGTAAAAAAGGGCTGGCCAGTCTCCAGCTCTCAGCGACTTCCTCAGGTGCTGATGAAGCAGGGATGTCCAATAAGGCCATAAACGTCTGAGGGTTTGGGGGCCTCCAAAATACCGTGAACTTAGCAAATGAGCAGTTATCATCCATGAGGGTGCCGGGGGACACCCGCTGGACCACGAGTACACATAGGGGGCCTGTCCTTGATGAAGACCTGGTGTTCTTCCATCTGACGTGGCAAGTAGGCCACATCAGTTGTAAGGAGGGTCTGAAGGAACTCATGAGGCTTGCCTGAGATGGGCCCATTTGGGAGTCCCCTTTATTGCAGCTGCCAGTAGAAGTAGCTCTGACCTTGCTGCAGACCGCTGGACTGCGTCTCGTCCTGTGGGTGATGGGCCTGGGAAGCCCAAGGAGAGTGATGCCAGCTGTCAGACCTCTGGCTAGAGGGTGCCAAGTTGGGGCTGGGAGAGGTGTGAGCTGCAGCTGGGAACACTTGGCTGGGTGGTTGTGTCTTGGCATTTTCCAGCATGGCAAGGGCCCATAGAGCTTGATTAACTTCGGAGGCCAAGAGAGCTCGTTTGGCCTGTGATGGGGCTCCCCTTAAAAACAACTGTAAAGTAGGGCCAGGCACAGTGGTTCACGCCTGTAATCATAGCACTTTGGGAGGCCAAGATGGGAGGTCTGCTTAAGCCCAGGAGTTCAAGACCAGCCTGGGCAACATGGCAAAACCCTGTCTTCACAAAAATTAGCCTGGTGTGGTGGTGCATGCCTATGGTCCCAGCTACTCAGGAAGTTGAGGCAGGAGATCACTTGAGCCCAGGAGGCGGAAGTTGCAGTGAGCCAAGATTGCACAACTGCACTCCAGCCTGGGTGACAGAGGAAGACCTTGTCTCAAAACAAAAACAAAAAGAAAATCATAAACATTTGGCTGCAAGGTGGCCTATACAGGGCTCTCCCAGCGGTGCCCCAGTCCCATGGAGGTGGCAGCTGCATAAACCCACTGAAGCATGCTTAAATGTTCCTTCCTGAACTTTACACCAGCCACTTTCAGTCCTTGATGGGGAGGTTCATGCTGAGGTGTGCTATTCTCCAAGTCATGAACAGCCACTGCAGCAGAGGACAGGGACAGCTTATGGCTGTCTGCTCTATGCCCACAGCCCCATCAAGTTGTGCTTCCTGGATAAACTTGACTGGGTGTTGAAGTCATGAGAGACCTTACCATCTTTGGAGATAGCTACCATCATATTTTTCAGTCTGTGAGTTACAGACCACTTCCCGTGTGATACACACAGTACAGCCAGTGACAACTTTTTCACTGAGTCCTTGCATCAGGTCTTCAAGGAGGCTCTGAATTTCTGTCCTTGACAAAGGGTAAACCTCTTTGCAGACTTCTACGGTGTCTGGGGCGTGCTTCCTCATCTGAGTAGGTTGTGGAGGTGACAGCCACTGTCCTAACCATGACCCAAGTGGTGACTGGTAATGCCTGTAGTGCAACCAATGGTTATCCCGGAAACTCAGGATCATCATTCCGCAGCTTGAAGGCCTATGGATCAGCCAGGCCAAGTGATGCGACTCTTGAGCTGAGCCTGTGTGACTGGAGTATGCGGCACGCAGCAGGCATCTGAGGATGGAGCACATCCCTGGAGAAGCTGCGCAGTCCCATCAGGAGTGCAGAGGGGATAATGTGCCCTTCAGTGATTGTACAGACTTGCAGGGGATCATCTTCTAATTCCCCCACTGGCAGACAACAACAGAGAGGCTTTCTGCAGATAAACCTGACCTACGACTTCCTGGCCTATGGTGTCACAATCGCAGGATCCTTCAGGCTGAGATGCTCCTCTGGCACAGCAAGGGCTGGAGACACACCAGCTGGCAGTCAGCTCTTGAAGCCAAGGGTGTCCCTGGCATCCAGACCGTCCTCTTCCACTTGGGAGCCTGTCCCCCCTTACTAGGGGCCTGGAAGGATCTTAAGAATAATTTTGGCAGGTTTTGCCTGGTGGCAATTTCCATAACAGAGGTGGAAAGTACACACAGTAGGTAGCAATTGGCCAGAAAGCAGAACAAAAACTGCCAGACCTGCTGTGGAATAGTCCATAGGGCTCACCCAATAGCTGGATCAGAGCTAACTCTCATGATTCTCTCATAGAAGTGAGTGCCACTACTCACCTGCTTAGGCAAATCCCATCACCATCCCCAACTGTTGTGTTGGTGGGTGGGGTGTTTCCAATGGACCTAATTAACCAGCTCTTTCAGGAGGGACTTCTCCCTTTCCATCTGATTCTCCTCAAAGATAAGTCTTAGTCACCAACCGATGCTCAAGCAGTTTGTTCTGCTTATTCTCTTACAAGACGGACAGCAGATGCAGGCCAGATACAGCCAGGGAGTCAGATGACCAAGCCACCAGGAGGGTCTTCATCCGGAGACCAGCCTCAAGTTTGCAGGATCCTTCTCCTTTACTTATACCTGTATTCAGTCCAGATCAGTTACCAGATGTCTCTTTTCTGAAAGGAGTTTAAACTATTCTTATAAGGGGAAACTTTGTTTTAAGACTTATGAAAGCTGCATCTGTGCCGAGGTGGCCTTGTCTCCTGGAAATCTCCAGGCTAGGTTGTAGACTGCTGACACAGGCTGACACGGACAACACTGCTGACATGGAGTATCAGCCCTGTGAGACACCTGAATGAAGTTATGGCTACCCTTAATCTTATAGCCACAATATGCCACTTACAGTATGCTCCAGAGCGGGTTCAGACCACAAGATTTAAGGATCTTTCTAGATCTACAATCCTATGACCATCTTCCTTTTACTTGTAAAATAACACAATAACTGACCTTTAGTTACACTTATGAATAAACTGAAAAAAAAAAGTGGGGAAATTAATCTGAGAACTAACAGCAGTGAGAGTTAATAGGAAATTTTAAAAGCTGGAAGGAATAAATATGCTGGGTAAAAATTAAAAAGGTCAGAAATGAAGAAAGCATGAGAGGTGGTGGAAGAGAATATGCATGGATCTTAAGACGGGAAAAAGCTGGCCAGACACGGTGGCTCATGCCTGTAATCCCAGCACTTTGGGAGGCCAAGGTGGGCAGATTGCCTGAGGTCGGGAGTTCAAGACCAGCCTGACCAACATGGAGAAACCCTGTATCTACTGAAAATACAAAATTAGCCAGGCGTGGTGACGCATGCCTGCAATCCCAGCTACTTGGGAGGCTGAGACAGGAGAATCACTTGAACCTGGGAGGTGGAGGTTGCCGTGAGCTGAGATCAAGCCATTTCACTCCTGCCTAGGCAACAAGAACAAAACTCCATATAAAAAAAAAAAAAAAAAAAAAAAAAACGGGAAAAGGCAAACAAAGCCAGCAAAAGAAGTGTGCTGTGACAGCATCAGTTGTGATGGCATGATTGGGTGTACCTGTGATAGACATGGGGATGTGCCGCACAGACCCATGTTCAAGGAAAGACTTGCTGCCTGGCTGTGGAGGGCACAGATAGCAGGGAGCTTCCAGCTATAAGCTTCTTCAGGATCTCTCTCCACTGCAGATCTCCCTCCTCTGACCTCAGGCATGGCCCAACATCAGGTACTGAGCAAGGCAGAGGTATAAAGGCCCAGCCATTTCAGCCCAACTCAAACGGGCAATATGCATTCCACAGATCACCCCCAGGCTGAATGTAGCTTTCAGTTCAGCCAATCCTTCTGTCCAATCCTGCTTCCACCTTTCGTTGATGCCTAATAACCATCATGCACCCAAAACTCCATCTTAGCATCTGCTTCTAGAGAACCCAAGATGCAGCTGTTGGTACTAGGAGTGACCCAAGAAAACAGCAAATAAGATGGTGTTTCGGATCTCAATCACCTCCCAACAAGCAATGAAGATGCCATCACTGGTGGTAAGCGGAACACAGACAACCCCTGGCACCAGATGGCGAGCAAGTAAACTTTAAAGATGGTGAATTAGAAGCTGTACACTGGAAGCAGGCCAAACACCCAGGTGTTTAAAAATGGTAGCTATAAGAACAATGGTTATGATCCTTCAGGGATGGATGGCTGTCGCTAAGCACCACTGATGCTCTACCATAGTCCCCAAACCTTAGTCTGCCCAGAAATCACCTGGAGGGCTGGTTAAATCTCAGAGTGCTGTTCCCCACTCCCAGTTTCTGATTCAGTGGCTGGGATGGGCTGAGAATCTGCCTTTATAACAAGTTCCCAGGTGAAGCTTGTGTGAGTCTCAGTTGGAAGCCTTCATTTAGAGAACCACTGCACTATAGAAGTATAACAGCAGAGAAGGAGAAAAGACTATTGGAAACCAGATGTGAAAGCCAGAAGAAACTCTCACTACCTACAGTGCGAGGTCACAGCAAGGACCACGCCTAAGGCTTACCTGTGAGAGTGGCTGAACCTCAAAGGCAATTAACCACGGTCAGGGCCCAGGAAACCAGAAATGGGGACACTTAGGTTTTGACTCCCCAGATTCCTCTAAACCGTCTGACTGCAGAGATGGCACATCCCTCCCAATTAAGAGCAACTGCTCAATTGTGCCAGAAGACAATGGAAGAACCTGCAAGGCAACACTATGCCCCCTCACACACGCCTCAACCAGTCTCCCCTCCAGGCCAATACCTATAATTGGGGTCATTTCAGGGCCCCAAATGGGGAAGTGCTGGAAGGCAACAGATTATATTTCAAAAGAATTGCAGGAACTAACTAGCATGTAGCAACAGCCAGAGAAGTCTGCAGAGGACTTGATGATGAGAGCCCTTGATCAACAGGGCCAGAACATAAAATTGTTTAGAGAAGAGTATATTGACTTGGGAGTACTCAGGATACAACACCACCAGGGTATGTTGAGAACTCCCTACTAGCATGGCTCCTAAAAGCATGAAGAAGCAACAACCCACACTGAGCAAAGCTGAAATACCAGAATTGCCGTGGTAGACAGTGGAGGAAGGAATTCAAGGACTCAAGGAAGTTAGAATGGATACAGTATCTATGGCTGGAAAATATGCCAAACAATCGTGTTGCATGGGAAGCCCCAGAGGACACATTAAAACAAATGTGCAGGTGATAGGAGCACAAACATCATGAGGAAGATCAGTGGCGACCTCCTCTGCAGGCCAGGGCTGACCACAAAAGTGGTCAGAGAGCAGAGCTCGCCAGCAGTAACAGGGATGACAGAATCCTGAAACAAGAGATGCCAGGTGATAGGGCTAAGTACTGGAAGCCAGGCCACAGTGGCAGCCAAGGGGGTCTGACCCACAAAGGTCATGGAAATAGTTAATAGAACATGGTGTCCTTGGGTACAAAACAAGTGGGTAACCAACACGAGTACTACTTAGTTTGTACAAACATAAGAAACCAGGAATGGATAACCAAGAGACTGAAGGCAGGACATTCCAATAAACAGTCACACTATTCCTTGCTCAGTTCCAGAACTGATCACATTTTTTGGACTGAAATCCACTGACTAAAGAGGTGGTCAGATCCCAGGAGGAAGGACTCTGTAACAAAATAACAAGCAAAAACGGCCTTGACAACCCTGTCATTCCCCAAAGGGGCTTATGGCCGTTTACCTGGGGAGCTGTACACTGGGAAAAGAAGAATAGCAGACAGTTCAAGCCATGTTAGATGCAGTATCTGAATCATCATTGATACTTGGAGACTGGATACATCACTATGGTTCCCCAGTTAGAGTAGAGAATATGAGGCCAAGGTAATAAATGGATCTTGGTCAAGGTCTGACTTACAGTGGGTCTACTGAATCACAGATCTACCCAGTGGTCCTTACCCTGGTCCTTGAATGTACCACTAGAATTGACATTCTTGGCAGACCCAATGTGCTACTCAACACTGGGTCCTTGACATGTGGAATAAGAGCTATCCTAATGGGAAAGTCAAGCAGAAATGAAATTACCACAACCCCCATCAACCCAGGCATCAAAACCAATATTACACTGGAGGGATAGAGGAGATTAGTGCCACTCTTAAGGATCTGAAGGATATAAGGGAGATGGTACCGGTCCTATCTCTGATTAATTCACCTGTCTGGCCCCTGAAGGTCCTGAAGGATAACTGCAAACTACCACAAACTCAACCAAGCAGGAGCTCTGAGTGTAGCTGCCAGGCCAGGTGTTGTAGTTTAGCTGAAGCAGATATAAAGTATGTGGCAACTGATTAGGTGAATGGGTTATTTTCTATCCCAATCAGAAATAAGGATCAGAATGGTTCACAGACATTTATAGTTTTGCCCCAGGGCTGTGTTAATGCTCCCACCCACTCATAATACCAAGGAGTTCCCAACCGTCCAGGCACACTGCAGAACCTGCCCCTGCTGAGGAGAGCCCATGTGAGAAAGGGCCTCAGCTGTTCCAGGCTAGAGTATAAGCAGCACTGCTGCTGGGGCCATATGTTTCAGCAGATCCTACAGTGTTGGTGGGAAAAGATGCCAAAAGGAATCTGTGGCAGGCCACATTGGGAGAATCACAATGCTGGTCCCTGACGTACTGGAGCAAGACCTGCTATCTATAGTGAAGACGTATGTGCCTTTGAAAGAATATTCCAGATGTGCTACTTGGCCCTGATAGAGATGTAAGGCCTGGCCAAGAGATACCAGATACACATGTGGCCAGAATCACCCATCATAGGCTAAATTCTGTCAGTCCCACCAGGCAATACGGCATCAGCAACAATCCATCAAAAGGCAGGCATGGTACTGCCAGAGTCAAGCATACCCAGGAGCCAAGAGCACAAACAAGCTGCCTGGGCAGGTGGCCCGGATCCCCACAGCTCCACCACTGTTGCACCAGCTCCCCTCCCTCAGCTGATGACCTAGAGTGTATGGATGAAAGCAGGGGAAAAAGCCCAAGCTTGGTTTACAAATCGGTCAGTTGGCAAGAGTGGGTGAGCCAAAAACAGATGGCACTACAGCCTCATTCTGGGATGGTCCTGAAAGAGCGCTGTGGGGAAATCTCTCCCAGTGGGCGGAGTTTCAGGCAGTGTACCTGGTCATCCACTTTGTGTGGAAAGAGAAGTGGCCTGAAGTTAGAATAGAGAGGGACTCATGGGCAGAAGCAAGTGGTGGCCATGCCAGCTGGTCAGGGGCCTAAAAGAAAAGAGGACGGATGAGAAGGTCTTGGGGCAGAGACTTGGAGGTGGACAAATGGAAGGGAGCATGACGAGCTCTATCTCACACATGGAGGTCTGTCAGACAGCACCACCATGGAAGAGGTACCAAGGTACCAAGCAGACAAAATGACTGGGGCAGTTGGTGCCAGCCACCCCGACCTCAGCCACCCCAGAGCGACAGGAGGGGCACATGAATGAAATGACCACAGCAGCAGAGAGGAGGCTTCCCATGAGCCCAACAGCATGGACCCCGCTTATCAAGGCTAAGCTATATAATTAAGCTAACTTCCACTGCCAAACATCCAACTAGCCAGATACAATGACCCACGCTGAGTCCCCAGAATGAGACCATTCTTCCAGGAGACCAAACTGTCACCTGCCTTTCCTGCCTACGGGTCCCTAGCTGGCACCACTGCCCATCTCCTCTCCCTTCAAGGAAGAGCCTGCTGTCCAAATGTGCACTGTGTACTCAGCACACAGCCTATAGCTATTGGCTCCTTCAGGGTCAGCCTCAGCTGCAGAGCCCCCTCTCCCAGGGTCGTGCCCTTCCTGGGGCACCTTGCTGTGGGGACTGAGACAGATGGGGGTATGACGGCCATTCCAGCACAACACACACAAATTCTGATAAGCCAGGCCTGATCAGACCCACATCACAGGGGAATAGTTCCCACCTCTGCTCTTTTCCTGTCACAGGTGTTGATCCCTCATCAACATCTCAGAGCTCCCAACCTGAGGCATGTGCACAAACGCTCACAAGATGCCACCCTGTCCCACAATTCCTCGCTACACTTGCCTACTTTCAAAGACAAATGAGCAGAAGTGATGCAAGTATTTCAAATTATCAGGCACCATCCCCTAGTCTTTATTCCCATTATTATTGAGCCCTCAAACAAGTTTTAAATAGAAATTAAGGTTTTATGTATACTGTGTTTAAATATAATGCGCTGAATTATAAAGTGAGGAGCCTGGAATTAACAAAAATAGCTTATACAAATAAAAGATAAAGGGAACAAATGAGGGACAATAATTGAAAGGGACAGACTAACAGAGAGAAGACATGCACCTCAGAGCACTTTAGTAAGAGCATCTCTCCAGGGCCATTCATAGCCACTTATGATGAAACATAAAACTACAATATGTACAGTTGAAAAATACTTAAAATGGGAAACACATATCAAATACACCATGCCTATTTTAAATAATAAAACTACTAAAACTTTTGTTCATGTTTCCTCGAGAACATTCCCCACTCCACCCCCAAAACCCAAGTGCTTTCCTCCGCAATTATCAGTAACAGAGACTATCAGGGAATATGAAGAGAATTTTGATGGTATTATTTCATTTATGGGGGAAAGAACAGCAACAACATCTGTCTACTTCTGGCTTCTCGGCAATTACAAACATAATAACCCAAACCAGTTACCTCTTCTCCAGGATAAATGCTGTGCCTAATTCCTGTGCGTCTTGCCTTTGCGCTGCATTTGCAGAGTGGTCCATCATTCATCTGTCGGAAACACAATGTAATTCGTTTTTATTGGAGGGAAGAATCCACACCATGCACAATGATGCCTCCGAAAATGTGTGGGTTTTAATGTCATGAGCACTGAAGCTCTGAGAGGCTGTCACGGTTAGAAGATTAAACGGATGTTCCAAAACCAATAAAGCTGCAAACTCTCTATATTGTCTGATAAAGGGAAACTGTATGACAACCCTGCATTCCCGAGTTATTTGTGCAGCCAAGCAGAAAATATCAATGTCAGCACACTGTTTGCCCCCATCTTCTTCTACCAATTCCCAGGACATTTTTGTTTCCCTATTTCTTATCTCAAGAAAAATGACTCTTTCACAAAAGCAAATTTTATATCCCGGAGGAACACACAGAGTGTTTTGAAGGTGACCTGCGGATTCGATGTTTTGAAAAGAGAAACTGTAAGGTACCTCACTAGCAGAGAGAAGAAAATGCTACTAAGCCAGAAAAACTTCCCACACTGGTCAGGTTAGATTACATCTCTTTCCCTGAATTTGTTTTAGTGCCACAAACTCCGCCCACAAGGCTCCATAGGCAAGCAATTCTTCAAAATTTCTGGAACGGATGAGTGCTAAGCAAGGGGATGATAAAGAACAGCGGGTCCATGTGCTCAAGGAATATCTGTTCTAGACAGGAGAACAACATATATATGATATGCTTCATAATTTAAAAGAAAAAAAAATCACTCGAAAGTAGGTAATGCTGGGGTGTCAAACAGATGGGATGGACAAGAAAACAAGAGGGCTGCTGCACTAGAGGCACCAGCACCCATCAGAAAAGGAGAGAAGGCAGGAAGTCCACGTCATGCTCTGGGCCACGAGACCCATCTAAATAAAATGGACCATTTATGTGGGGGAGAAGACCAAAAGAAGCAGAACTAACATCAAAATCTGAAGGGCCTCACAAGCCAGGTTCATGAGTTCCTCTGGTACAGATGGTAATACTGAATGAAAAACAAGACCAGAGCTCAGATAGGGAAAATGAAGAAGTGGAGTTCCATTTCTCTTTCTCTGTAATAATTTAAAAATATAGGCTGGTCAGAGTGTAATGGTTTTTACAAATAATTGATCACAGCCAGTTAGACTTCTTCATTCCTTCTCCACTCCCACTGCTTCTTCACTTGACTAGCCTTAAAAGAAAAAATATATATACATATATACACACACATATTTCTTTAAAGTTATTGAGATTTATAACTCAGTATGTCCAATTAAAATGTAAAAGTCAGTAAGACTTTTTGAAAAAAAAGTGTTAAAGTAAAAAGCTGTAACTTTGCTTTAGCCTCTTGGAAAATCTAAAGATCCAGGTGGTACAGCAGAGGAATAATATTACTACGAAAAGAAAGATTCTGTTAAGACATTATCTAAAGTAACAGCTGGCAAACAAGAGATGTAACAGGATTTCATCAAAAGTCATAACACGGCTGTGCGCAGTGGCACACGCCTGTAATCCCAGCACTTTGGGAGGCTGAGGCAGACGGATCTGAGGTCAAGAGCTCAAGACCAGCCTGGCCAACGTGGCAAAACCCCATCTCTACTAAAAAAACACAAAAATTAACTGGGCGTGGTGGTGGGCGCCTGTAATCCCAGCTACTCATGAGGCTGAGGCAGGGAGAATTGCTTGAACTAGATATGCAGAGGTTGCAGCGAGCTGAGATTGTGCCACTGCGCTCTAGCCTAGGCAATAAGAATGAAACTCTATCGCGCAAAAAAAAAAAAAAGTTATAACACACTCCTAAGGCCGGGTGCAATAGCTCATGCCTATAATCCCAGCACTTGGGGAGGCCAAGGCAGGCAGATCACTTGAGGTCAGGAGTTCAAGACCAGCCTAGCCAACATGGTGAAACCTCGTCTCTACTAAAAATATAAAAATTAGCTGGGCGTGGTAGCACAAGCCTGTAGTCACAGCCACTGGGGAGACTAAGGCAGGAGAATCACTTGAACCTGGGAGGTGGAGCTTGCAGTGAGCTGAGATCACACCACTACACTCCAACTCCAGCCTGGGCAACAGAGCAGGAGTTTTTTGGAGACTCTGTCTCAAAAAAAAAAAAAAAAAAAAAAAAAGTTATAACACACTCTTAATGCCAGTCATGACTTCCGTGATGAAAAATATAAAAAATTAACTTAGTGCTCACTGATCTCCAGGGAAGTGGAGACATCCTACATGCTTGCCTTTTATCAAGGTCTGGGATCCTACATATTCAGCCCTTCACAAGGCTCAACTATACAGAGAACACAAAACCAGTAACACTAAACAGCATTACAGAGACTGTACACAAAGCACTGTTGAATTTCTGATAGAAACGGGTATCCACGGAAATCAGTGTAGAGGCTTCTTGTGAAACAGGAAAACAACAGTCAAGTAAAAAGACTAGAGGGCCAGGTGCAGTAGCTCACACCTGTAATCCCAATACTTTGGGAGGCTGAGGCAGGAAGACTGCTTGAGCCTAGGAGTTTTGAGACCAGCCTGGGCAACATAGCGAGACCTCATCTCTAACAAATAATTTTTTAAAACTAGCCAGGCAGACCAGGCGCAGTGGCTCACACCTGTAATCCCAGCACTTTGGAAGGCTGAGCCAGGTGGATCACCTGAGGTCAGGAGTTCAAGACCAGCCTGACCAACATGGAGAAACCCCATCTCTACTAAAAGTACAAAATTGGCCAGGCGTGGTGGCGCATGCCTGTAATCCCAGCTACTCGGGAGGCTGAGGCAGGAGAATCACTTGAACCCGGGAGGCAGAGGTTGCAGTGAGCCAAGATCGCACCATTGCACTTCAGCCTAGGCAATAAGAATGAAACTCTATCTCAAAAAAAAAAAAAAAAAAAAAAAAAACTAGCCAGGCATAGTGGGGCGCCCCTATAGTCCTAGATACTTGGGAGGCTGAAGCAGGTGAATCGCTTTGGCCTGGGAAGTCAAGGCTCCAGTGAGCCGTTATTGCGCCAGTGCACTCCAGCCAGAGCAACAGTGTGAGACCAGGTCTCAAAAAAAAAAACAAAAAAACCCATATATGGAGGAAGTTTATTTTAGGGGGGACAAAAATGTCCTAAAATTCAATTGTAGTGATAGTTGTGCAGCCCCATGAATATACTAAAAAATGCTGGATTATAAATTTGAGGTACAATTGTATCATATGTAAATTATAACTCAACAAAGCTGTTTAAAAAGAAAACCAAGTTTTAAAATGCATTGGCAGTTTTGCAAACATTTCTGCTCAATTCCAAGAGAGTAAAAGGAACACACAAAATACATTTCTCCCAGACATTCTATTAAAAAAAGATGGATAGCTGTCGTCTAACAAGAACCAGGAGAAAAGCATTTTAATTAATATAGAACATTATAAATTTACTCATGAAATATAAATTTTAAATTATCTTTTTATAGATATGCTTTATTATGCTTCCTAACTTTACATGCATTAAAGATACAATTTTTGTACGTATTATATATCTGTGTGACACAAATCTTTTTTAACAATGCTAATTTTATTATGTATTACTTCATATTAAGACAGTAATTAAAAATAAAAATAATTATGTCCACCTATTATGTCATTAGCTCAAACATGCTTAACAAGGAAGAGAACTTGTGACTGTTACCAACTAAAAAAAATGAAATTTTATAGGACTTATTTACTATTATGCAGCAAGATACCTTCCAGGTGAACTACTTCTAAAAAGACCTCCCAGTTCTCTCTCATCCTACCATGTGTCTTCTTCCATCTACTCCAAGTTTAATGAGGCAGGGCCATTACTCCACTCCCCAACACGGAATTTACAAACATCATCAAAAATGATTCAAGGGACAGCTGCTCTGGTGCTTATGCTTTGGAACTGAACCCGAAGCTGAAAAAAAACAGCTCTGAAGGACACAAGCCTGAGAGTAAAATTCAGTTTCAATACAAGGCAACATGCATCTTCTGAGCCCAGAGCAATAACCGTTATGTCTGGGTTTGCAACCTTCACAGCAAGGGCATAAAAACACGCACCTGGCCTGGATCGTTGTACCAAAGTTCATCATGAAGCCGGTCAGGGTGGGCCTTTTTGCGTTTGATTTCTGCAATGACGTCAAAAACTTCAGAGTCTGAGCTGCTAGAACAGGTGCTGTCCTCATCAGACTCACACTCGGATTCACTGGAACTCTCTAACAGGGGTTGGGAGAAAAACACAGAAACTCCTCATCAGACTCACACTCGGATTCACTGGAACTCTCTAACAGGGGTTGGGAGAAAAACACAGAAACTGATGGAATTAACAAACTGGGTTTTTTTCCTTTTTTTTTTTTTTGGAGACAGAGTCTTGCTCTGTCACCCAGGCGGGAGTGCAGGGTGTCTCACTCTGTCACCCAGACTGGAGTACAGTGCATGATCTCAGCTCACTCCAACCTCCGCCTCCCAAGTTCAAGTGATTCTCCTGCCTTAGCCTCCCGAGTAGCTGGGATTACAGGTGCCCACCACCAGACCCAGCTAACTTTTGTATTTTTAGTAGAGACAGGATTTTGCCATGTTGGCCAGGCTGGTCTCGAACTCCTGACCTCAGGTGAAACGCCCGTCTCAGCCTCCCAAAGTGCTGGGAGTATAGGCATGAACCACCGCATCCGGCTGACAAACTGGTTTTTGTGGAGACTTCCAAATGACCTAAACCTCTAAAGGTAAGAAGAGTTCTTTATTCTTCTAGAAAATACTTAAGGGCCTACTCTACACCAAATACTCTACTAAGCAATACCACAAAAAAAAAAAAAAATAGACAATGCTAAGTCACAATCTAGTTGGGGAAACAAAGAAAATAAACATCTTTAGAGAAAAAGTAAGACTCAATGAGCAATGTCAGATAAAATGAAAAACCATAGTAGTAGTATGTAGTTTAACACTTGAGCTATGTAATGATCCACAAAAGGGCTGTTTCACTGGGATCCAGAAAGGCTGGTGATAATTTCAAAGAAGGAGCACATGTGACCCAAGCACTGCAACGGGATGGGAGAAGCATGATAAGGAGGAAAGAAGAAGAAAGAAATGAAGAGGGAGCACCATAGGCAAAAGCATGGAGCTAAAAATACAGTGGACTAGCTAGAGCGCGGGCCACACAGAAAAACACTGGGAGGTTAGGGCTGGGAGTGCTGAGAATGCCACAGTGAAGGCTGGGAATGCAAGACCAAAGACTTGACATTTTTTTCCCTCAATAACAGCAAGAGAAGATGTTAGTCCTTAAAGTGACTGAATGAAAACAGACACAGACTTACGCTAACTGAAACAAGCCAGTCACAAAAAGACAAATATACATGATTCCACATATATGAGATACCTGAGAGTCAAATTCATAGAGAAAGAAAGCAGCATAGTAGTAATAAGGGAACAGGGAATTGGGGTCTGGGGAGTTATTCCTTAACAGGTACAGAGTTTCAGTTTTATGAAAGGAAAATAGTTCTGGCAACTGGTTGCAAACAATGTCATGTTGAACCCTATTGAACTGTATGCTTAAAAATGGTTAAGATGGTAAATTTCATATTATGTGTATTTACCACCATTTTTTTTAAAAAAGACCTAGAAGTTAATCCTACATAGTGAGATTCCATCACTACAAAAAGAAAAATAATTAGTTTTTAAAATAAATTAATCCTATAAGAGATTAACGTAGTAGTAGCATAATAAAATCCAACATGGAGTTGTATTTACATGTACTGCATGAGATAGATGCTACTGTCATCCCTATTTTACAAATGGGAAAAATCTGAGATGGAGACGAACTTCTGGACCAAGGTCACATATCAAGTAGGTGGTAGAGCAGGGATTCAAATCCAGGCCATCCAGCTCCCGACTCAGGTGCCTTTGCCCAGTATGGATAACTGCCTCTCAGCATGTGGGATGTCATGGAGGTGGGCAGATGAGAGCCAGAGAGAACATGCAGGTAAATGCACACTGAATGTCTCATCTGTGCACGGCATTCTGTTAGGGTCTAAGGATACAAAGTGGTAAAAAGTAATTTCCATCCTCAAAGATCTCACCACCTACTTGGAACCTCAGAACACACAAATGAAAAAATAGACCACTTTATGAAAAAGCTATGCAAACTGTCTACACGAGTGGAAACCTTCAAACAGAGCTGGGCTATAGTCGTCGTTTCCCTCATCAAACCAGGCACACCTGGCAAAGGAGAGGGCCAACGAAGGACGTCTGTCCTCATGAGAGGCAGGGGGCACAGGCTCCTTCGTTTGGAAAGATGCTGAACTCTTCTGACTGGACAATCTCTAAGGGGCACCCTTGTTGGCAAGCCTTGCAAATGAGATCACGGCTGTATTCTGTCAAATATAACTACGGAAAAATATGATCAAAAAGAAGGAAGTTCCACTTCTATGTATCTTACTGACTGTAATTAAGAAAAATAAAATGAAAAAGAAGAAATCTCAGTGTGGGACTCTCAAGGGTATTTCCCCAAAATTCAGGAATGAAGCTATAACAGCAACGGTCTCAGACTAGTTAATGACTCTGACTCACCTAAATCTTCATCGAGCTTCGTCTTCGGAGGTTCCCACGGAGGCCGAGCAGCTTTGGCCTTTTCTTGCCTGCTCCCCAACTCCTCCTCAAATTTGTCATATAAGTCACGAAGCCTACTTGTTCCAACTACTGTAGAATCTCCCTTTTAAAAATAAAGGATCACTATTAGGAACTATATCAATAACAACCATATCAAAGATATGTAAGATCTCACAGGTAATCAAAGCATTTTTAACAGCAAGATGCTATTCTTCAACCCTCAATTTAACAAACATTTAAAAACAAAACGCTCAAGTACTGGCAATCATACTATGAATCAAACACACACTTATCGCTGACACAGTCCTCAGGTAAATGTGCCTTGCCAACATTTAGAAACATTAGAGCAGGCCAGGTGTGGTTGCTCATGCCTGTAATCCTAGCACACTTTGAGAGGCGGAGGCAGGAAGATTGCTCGAGGCGAGGAGTTCAAGACCAGCCTGAGCAACATAGCAAGACCCTAACTCTATGGAAAAGAAAACAATTAGCCAGGTGGTATGTGCCTGTGCTACTTGGGAGGCTAAGGCAGGAGAACTGTTTGAGCCCAAGAGTTGGAGGAAGCAGTGAGCTATGACTGTGCCACTATACTCTAGCCTGGGTGACACAATGAGACCTCATCTCAAAAAAAAAAAAAAAGAAAAGAAACATTATAACAGTTCATCTACGCCCTCTTAACATGACATTTTTTTAAAAATCATGACCTCAGAGAATCGTAACAACTGACACCAAATACCCCCCTAGGGAAGGTACACTTCCTACTGAAAAATCACTGATAATCTGTCTTCTCCTATACTAATCCAACAAGGAACAAGGAATATCATATATATCCTCTTTGTCTCTCTCTCTCTCTCTCACACACAAACACACACACACTCATGCCTTAAACACGAGGATATAAAATGCACACATTCTCTTTCACACACACACACAAACACATAGAACAAACATGGGACTCTACGCAGCATTCCTAGAGAAAATTTTCCACTTTTCCTCACTCATTTTCCAGGCTGAAAATCATTTTACATGTCCACACTCTGACTTAGTAGCTTTAAAATGTAAAAACCAGACCTGCCAAATGTAAAATTAAGGCAAATCATAAAATCTGGTACCCAGAAGAAGGGATAATTCAGGCCGCATCTCATTGTTGAGAGTGGCAATGCCGGTATAGCTTTGACATCCTCATCACCTTCTCCGCACCACAGACGACAAAACTCAAAGGCAAATGTCAGCCTTTTGAGTTTATCAGTCTTCCTCCTACACTGGAGTTTTAATATACTCGTATAAATATGTAATAAAAAAACAACCAGCTCTGCCTGTTTAAACTCCCTGAACTTCGGTGTCTTCATCTTTATTGTTTTAAGAATAATAACACCTATGGCAGCCATTCTTTCCTTCTTCCTAATAGAAGCAGTATTCTATCAGATTTGGGGCAGAGAACTCCTGATCTCTGGGAAGGTAGACTGAGCCACCCACCCCCGCAAAGATGTCCATGTTCTAATCCCCAGAAATTAAATATATATGTTAACTTACATGGCAAAACGGACTTGCAGCTGGGTGGACCCAATCTTAGCACAGGAGCCCTTAAAAGCAGGGAACCTTTGCCAACAGGGGTCAGAGATGTAACAGAAAAAGAGGCAAGAGATATTTAAACCATGAGAAGGACTCAACCACCATTACTGGCTTTGAAGACAGAGGAAGGGATCCACAAGTCAAGGAATGCACATGGCCTGGAGGAACGAAGAAGTGCCCTGACCTTACAGCCAGCAAGGATACAAGGTCCTCTGTCCTCCAGACACAAGGAACTGAACTCTGCCAGCAACCTGAATGAGCAAGAAAACAGATTTTCCCCAGAGCCTCCATAAAGGAACACAGACCTGCTGACATCCTGATGGAGCCAGTGAGACCCAAGCTGGACTTCTGGCCTCCCGAGCTGTGACAGGACAAATGTGTGTGGTTTCAAGCCATGCTGTTTGTGGAACTCTGTCATGGCAGTAAGGAAAAACAAATCCCTGGGGTAGGCATGTCACATGGCTCTGGTAAAGGGATGGAAGGGGAGTCAAGGGATGAAAGGAGAGCTTGGGCAAGACACTGGAAGAATGCTCACCCAACATGCCCTCTGCATCCTGCATGTGGGGACACAGGTGTATAAGGACCTGAGGCCTGCTGGTCCTGCATCATCCTGCAACTGTGGAAGATGCTCAGGAAGACAGCAGGGCCTGCCATCACTAAGCCACTCAGTGAACACCAGCCATGGCCTCCCTCCAGGTACCTTATCATGAGAAGAACAAACCCAGCTTGTTTAAGTCCCACTTAGTCAGGTGTTATTACTCCCAGCAGCATTTCTAACTGACAGAAAGACCCTCTTGCCAGGGGTATTTTCAGGGTTAACTAAGACAACATGAGAAGCATGGACTAACGTTCTGGCACCGTGAAAGCACACAGTATGTGAGCTATCCCTTCCCTGTACCACATCAACTATGACTTAAAAGCCTGCTCTAATTTATCAAATAAAATATCACACCACTATGAGAGACTTCTCAAATTCTTTGTTTCCAAAAACACAGAAATCTCAAGTTCCCCACAGATCGAGTCCAAACAGAAGCTATTTTCACAAAATTCCAAACAAAACCTCTCTTATCTCTTACCTAATTCCATGCACTAAATCTAACATCTGCAACTTTTCAGGCCCTAAATCTGTACATGAGTTCATTGATTAAATGAATGAGATGTCCACTCATTCATTTAATCAATGAACATTACTGCATGCCTACTCTGTGGCAAATATGCCTAACAGGATGGAGGCATAATGCCTAAGGGGAAGAGAGGAAGAGGGGAAGAGAGAGCAAAAAGGAGACAGGGACAGAAAATAAAATGGAGATGGAAGAAAGAAAAGAGAAGTGAGCATGTAGAGATAGTGGTGGAGTCTGCGATGGCAATGTACCACCACAGGCACCCCAGCCCTGGCAGCATATGCTCTAGGAGTCCTCCCTCCAGCCCATTAAGGGTGACAATGGCTCTCCCTTTCTGCAAAACTAGCTGATATGCATGGGCAACTTCATAGGGTTGGTGCTCTTTTGGTCAAGGATACACTTCGAAGAGACAAACTCAAATTCTTCCTTATTTCTCATTTTGGAGGAAAAAAACACATACATATACACATACACACCACAAACTGCATAAACTAGTTACACATGAAACCTTATGAAACCACCAGTATCAAGACTACCAGTATCATTAAAAATGTAGAATAGGCTGGGCACAGTGACTCACACCTGTAATTCCAGCACTTTGGGAGGCCAAGGCCAGAGGATTGCTTGAGCTCAGGAGTTCGAGACCAGAGTGGGCAACAGTATGACCTCATCTCTACTAAAAAATAAATAAATAAATAAGCCAGTCACGGTGGCTCGTGTCCCAGTAGTTCCAGCTACTCAGAGGGCTGAAGTGGGAGAATCACTTGAGCCTGGAAGATCAAGGCTGCAGTGAACCACGATCGTGCCACTGCACTCCAGCCTGGGTGGCAGAGCAAGACCGTCTCAAATAAAAAAAAAATTCATTGTAAAAAGATACTTTAATTAACCTACTGCACTCTTGGTCTTTCGCTTTTTAAAACAGCTTTTGTCTGTAATAGTGATTCTCAACTGGGGGTGATCTTTCCCCCCAAGGGACATTTAGCAATATTTGAAGACAACTGGGGAGGGGTACTACTGGCATCTAATAGGCAGAGCCCAAATGCTGCTAAACATCCTGCAATACATAGGGCAGTCCCCACAATCAAGAATTATCCAGCCCCAAATGCCAATAGTGACAACACACAGAAACCCTGGTCTACAGCTTGTCTGCTACTTCGGACCTACCACCTGATCCATGGGGTCACTAGAGTAGTAGTTTTCTGAATGAGTGCATCGAATCCACACAGGCTTAAGAAGTTCTTCTTCCTCCTCCTCATTCTTGTCAGGCGTGGTCTCCTCAGGCTCTTTTTCCTTGATTGAGGTATAGTTCTTGTCTTTGCCAGAGCTCTGGTTGTCACTCCATCGGTCTTTTTCTTCCTCCCAACGAGCTCTCTTCTTCTCCCTACTTGGGGAGCGACTTCAAAAGAGGGCAAAGGAGATTAATTATTAAAAATACTCTGCCATTATAAAAACTATTCTATTTTACCTACTTGGTGCATTTTTCGCCTAAAATACGAATACCATGCCAAATCACCATGTGTACTTTTGTTAAACCAGTGATTCCCAAATACCAGTCTGGTGGCATCAGAATCACCTGAAGTTTACTTGTTTAAAAATACAAATTCCCAGGCCCCACCCCAGATCTACTTACTGATTCACAATCTCCAGGGGTGGGGCCCAAGAATCTGTATTTTTAATAATCTCCCCAGGTAATTCTGGTGTGCATCCAGCAGGTTCAGGAACAACCGATAAACCATAACTCCTAAAAGAAAAACATATTTGCGAAATGTTTGGAAATGTCCACGTATGGACAATTTCAGAAATTAGAATACCAGTTTTGAATCCTCCACATCTGTCTTTGCCAGGAAAAAAAGACTTTAAAATTTCACAAAACAGGGTCTCAATATGGCCATAAATTTAGCCTGAGGACTATAATTATAATCCAAGAATGAACCAGTTATGTCATCCCTAACTATGTCTCTGGAACCCCAGTGTTGGGCATTACTACTTGGCGAACCAACACTTTGCCTAATTTTGGTCCTCACAAATATTAATATTAACTCAGTCAATAAAGAAGGATGAAAAAACAACTCCATCTCCTTGACTTCTGGGGCTTGAAATCTGCAAAGACCCATCCGATGGATGTACTTGGAGGGAAAAACCTATAGGATCAGCTGGGCATGGTGGCTCACGTCTGTAATCCCAGCACTTTGGAAGGCCGAGGCGGGAGGATCACTTAAGCCCAGGGGTTCCAGACCAGCCTGGGTAACATGGTGAAATCCTGTCTCTACAAGAAATACAAAAATTAGCCAGGCATGTTGGTGCACACCTGTAGTCCCAGCTACTCAGGAGGCTGAGGTGGGAGGATCACATGAGCCTGAAAGGCTGAGGCTGTAGTGAGATATGATCGTACCATGCACTCCAGCCTGGGCAACAGAGCAAAACCCTATCTCAAAACAACAATGATAACAACAAAACCTATAGGGTGGATTTTAATTTAAGCCCAAGAAATTCAGGTAGAACACAGAGACCTTGAGAATCCAGCTAAGTAGAAAAACTGCTTTGTAAGCCCAGCTGGTAGCCTTCACAGCTCCACTAACAAAGTTACTACTATCCATGAAAGTTTACATCCAGATCAAAGTAACAAGTATTCTCATTAACTCTACCACTAACTTGTAATTTTGTAACAGGCAAAGTCTGTATGTATATATGTGTGTAGGTATGTATACTTGGGGAGGATTAGAAAGAGTATATATATTATTTATACAACTTCTAAACATTACAATATGCATCATTAGTTTTGTTACCAGAAAAATTACTGTCAATGTACATTCACTGTAGAAAAAAATAAAGCACAAACGTAAACAAAAATAAAACAAAAATCACACATAACACCACTCAGAGGTAATCACTATATTTCACAAATGTTTTAATGTTATAGCCTGACCTTCTCATTCAGTAGTAAATCAGGAACAGCTATTTCAATAATTCTATATTTGGAGCATTTTTAATAGGTGTATTATTATTCTAAGTATATACCATAATTTAACAAATCTAATAATAGTCATTTAGGTTAACATTTACTTTTCTTCCACCATAAACAATGCTATCATGAATACATTTGTGTTCTTTGCACACTTGTCAGATTCTTTCCCAGATGTATACTTTTTAAGGCTTCTCTCTAGTTTGGTAGTACTCATTTAGACTACCATCAAAACCACATAAGAGTTCCCATTTCCACACATCCCGTCACCACGGTTATTTTTCATCTTTGCCATTCTGATGAAAAAGTATTTTCATATAATTTAATTTGAAATATTTTATCAATACTGAAATGAATACATTTCATGCTTACTTCTTTTGTGAACATTCTGGTCATAGGCTATGCAAATATTTTTAAAATTATGATTAGAGTCTTTCTTTGTTGAAACAGTTTTCATTAAGATATCTATCCTCCCTCTGTCATATGCATTGTAACCGTTTCCAGTTTCTTGCTTTGAAATCTGTTTGTTTGTTTGTGGCTACATACAACTTTTATAAAGTTAAATCTAGAGATCTTTTTATGCTCCCTGCCTTAGTATGCTTGGAAGTCATTTCCTATCCCAAGGTTAAAAAAAGATTTTATATTTTCATCAGTTACTTTTAATACAATTTTTAAATTCTCTCTCTCCAAGGTGTAAGGCAGAAATCTAATCTCAATTTTTCCTCCAAATGGCTCACCAACTGCCAGTTTCTCCTCTGATTTGAAAAAAATATATATTCTTTATCACATGTAACTTTATATATTATTTATTAGGTGTAATATATATTCTTGAATGTTGCTCTATAGTTGTTTCATTGATCTACTTAACTTGTATCAAACTTTTTTAATTATTATATATTTCCAGAACATTTAATACTTCCAGAGTAAGTATCCTTGCATTACTATTTATCTTCATTATCCTAACTTCTATCCCAAGGAAAAGTTAAAGAGTCATTACGAAGTTCTAAAGTCAGTACTCTGGGTCAGACATGGTGGCTCATGCCTGTAATCCCAGCACTTCGGGAGGCCAAGGTAGGAAGATCACTTGAGGCCAGTAGTTCAAGACCGACCTGGCCAACAAAGTGAGATCCCCATCTCTTTTTACATTTTTAAAACTACAAAAAAAAAAAAACACAGTACTTTAACTGAAGTTACAATAAAATTACAGATTACAGTCATGTGTCACTTAACAACAGAGATACATTCTAAGAAATGAGTCCTTAGGTGATTTCATCACTGTTCAAACATCACAGTGTGCCTACACAAACTTAGATGGTATAGCCTACTACATGCCTAGGACAGGTGGTATAGCCTGTTGCTACTAGGCTACAAACCTGTACAGCATGTGACTGTACTGAATACTGCAGGCAATTATAATACAATGGTAAGTATTTGTGTACCCAGACACATTTGAACATAGAAAAGGTCCAGTAAAAAAATAAGGTATTATAATCTTTGCGACCAGTGTTGTATAGAGTCTGTCACTGACTGAAATGCCATGTGGTGCCTGATTATATTGTGAAGAAAACTGGTATTTTTACAACATGGTTATCCACCACAGGAACAGGACATACCTTCCTTTCACTACATCACCTTCTTTGTCATCAGCTACATTTTATTAGTTTTCTTCCCATTGGTCCTATGCATTATAAGATGCTTAATTAATTTATTAATAACTTTCCATAGTGAATTGTAAATTTAATTTTTCTTTGCATTACACTTTCTAACCAGGTAGTCCCTTTTATTAAAAAGGCTATTAAATACTGTCAGGTAATAATGGCAACTCTAGTGGCTCTGTTTTGTTTGTTTTGGTGCTTACTCTGAGGCTGGCACTCTGCTGAGCACTTTACTGACATTTCACATTTAATCCTGACAGCAACCCTAGGAGGCAGATATAAACACCCCCTACAAAGGAGGAAACAGCCTTGAAAATCAGTCACTTATCTAATATGATAAACCTAGGAAGTGGTAGTTAAATGCTAATATGGTTGATATAGATATTTCAGCATGTTCTGAAAAGAAATCCCACCAAATGTTTATTATTATTGCCAAGAAACACAGGCAAAAGACATCCTCACCCATCCTTTTAAGCAGGCGTTGTGAATGATGTAATGAATGGTCAGGGTCATCTGTTGTAAACATCAATTAATATTTCTTTTTAACACTTTGAGAAGGGCATTTCAACACAGAACAAAAGATCTTTTTTAGGTAAGTGTCTCAGGCACTCCAAAATTCAAAATCCAAACTCCCAATGTTTCTTCTTGCCAATATGCTATAGGGCAAACTGGTAACTTTTCCCCTTCATAGTTTTCCATCTCTCATTTTTATTTTCTACTGCATTAGTCAGAACTCATAGAATTCAAGTCTACCTTCTCTGTAAGCTACCAACCATTAGAGAAGAAACCATTAAACCGAGGCTATTTCCAGCACTTATACCTTAAAAATCATCCACCTCAAATAGGTCCTCAATGATGTCCACTGACACAATACCCTCACTTTTCTCCTATCTCCTCTCCTTCTCCTCAGGCCCTCTTTTCATGCTTCCTAATTAATCCCATCTAATCCATGGCATTTCATCCTTCCTAATTAATCTCATCTAATCCACAGCAATATGTAAGTGTCCTATCAAATGCACTTACAGCACTTAACTTTCCTTTTCCTATTAAGTGGGGGCCCTTGTTAATGACTCTATCACCCATACCAGTACAATACCCGGGACACACAAACACACCATGTTTTTGATTAGCATGTTGATTGTATCATAAGGATATTCAGTAACAATTATAAGCAATGGGGTCACCTTGCCTTTTTTCAAATCTGTATGGGAAAGGCCTGCAGGTTTCAACACCACATTTGACTCTCTGGGGTGGTATCCATCAGGTTCATCATGAGCTAGCGTTCTTCATCATGTTAAAGACGTCTGCTAATATTTCTAGTTTACTAGTTTTTATGCACAAATGGATGTTGGTTTTACTTTAAATACCTAAAAGGCAAGTACTGAGATAACCCTACAGATCTTGACACAAAGAATACAGATTTTCTAATATTAACTTTTCTATCCATGCAGTCTTGGAATAAACTCTATCAGTTATTTTAACAAACTACTGAAAACATTTGCTAATATCCTAATTAGTGATTTTATATCCATATTTGTAAGAGAGATTGCTGTGTCATTTTTGTGCCATTTTTTTCCCTTGGTTCGGTCTCGCCATCTGGTTTTTCCTGCTACCACAGAATGATCTGAGCTTTCCTTCCATCTTTTTTTAAGTGTTCAAGATCACTTTAAAACTTTTTTTAGAGGTGGCGCAAAGTAAGCTTTTTCCATTTTTTCCAGTTATTGACCTATTAAAGTTTTCTGCTTCTTACATGAAATTATTTTTGTTTTCTTAGAAATCAACCCATCACATTCAAGTTAATTTTTATACTGTTTTAAATTTTTAAATTTCCTTTCATTCCTGTAATAATACACTTTCTCAAACCTAATATTATGTAGATTTTTCTTTTCTTGATTTCCCACTTTAAAAATTGTATTTGCATTTATTTACAATATAGTTATATCACTATAGTTCTGTTTTCATTTCATTAATTCATCTTTAAATACCTTTTTCTGCTTTTCTTAAGTTCCACCAATTTCTATAGCCAAGTGCTCAGATAATAATTACATATATAGTTACCACTTATTTGGCACTTACTTCAGGCCAGTTCTAAGTGTTTGACATGCATTATCTCAATGACCCCTTATCACTCAAGAAGGTACATATAATGGTCCTTATCTTACAAACAAAGAAACTGATAACTGTGCCCAGTAATAAAGTTGGGAAAGCTAGTAACTGACCCCGAATCTGTCAGATTCTAGAGTGCTGTTGTTCATTACCATTATATTCATGTAAGACCAAAAATTTTACTTTGGGATACAGAACTGATTACACCCTTTAAGTTGTGGGTGATAGCAATCTCAATGTCATTTTCTAATGAAAATATGACTGCAGTTTTGCTCTTTTTTTCTGAAACATGTAAATTTAAGAGCATAATTATGAATTTCCAAGGTTTTCTAAAATTATTAATGTATAGTTTTATAGCACTGTGGTCAGAAAAAGTGGTCTGTATAATTTCTAATTTTTGGAAATTTATCAAGATTTTCCCTGGGCATAATCAATGCATCTTGAAAGTAAAGTTTTTTAAATTAAAGGCTGTTCAGCTTTTCACAGGTCACCTTGGACAGACTCTGAGGCCATTATGAAGACTTGGCTGCTGCTCTGTACAAGCACAAAATTTGAATTCAAGGAGATAATCCTACGACTTCTTTCAGTGTCAACTCCTTGCTTACCTTCCAGATCTCTTATACTCTTTTTTGTAGGACCTTTCCAGAGATGGTGATCTTCGGTTGTCTCGATGCCTGTGTCTCTCCCGTTCTCGCTCTCTTAAAGGAATTAATACACAGAGCTGTTTTCAACAGAAAGACTCAAAAACACCATCTCTTTTCACTGAATTCATCTTCTAGATAAATGGACCACATCTATGAATTTTTCAGGCACTATTCACTAGGGGACATTTTTATGCCTTCTTAATTTATTAGAGGATAAAGGAGCTTTTCACTTTACAGAAGTTAACTAACTTGGACAATTTTTGCAGTTTTCTTTAAAGAAAGCAGTCATACGTGATGCTATGCAATAATGGGAATCTTATCCTAATCTTCCCTTAAGACCTTGCAATCAGTCAATCCTTGGTTATTTAACCTAGAGGGAAAACTCTAAAGAACTCCACATCCTATTGATTTCTAGAAAATGCTCTATCTCACCCATCAAATAAATATAAATTATAAAGCTTTTATAGTGAAAATTAGGACAAGATTCTATAATGAAAGAGTTCTTAATGCTTATGGCTTATATGCTTGAGTTGTAGTTCCAGCTATCACTAACCTGCCATGAGGCCATGACTAAGTCACTTGAATGCTATTTTTCATCTGGAAAAAAACTAAATGGAGATTTTGGGCTTACTTAATGTAAAAAAAATAGATGAGGAATTTTTAAAACCTTCCAATGTAAAACTGGGGTTTAATAATATTAATAGCTTTTGAGCCTATTTAACAATGAGGATCTAGAAGAGAAATCTGAACTCCAGTGTGACTGAATCAGAACTACAAGTCTAAAGGAAGTAACCTTCCAATCTTAGAATAGGAAAAATAAAATGCTAGATTAACCTGAGTCCAGAAAGAAGACCATAAAAATGTTTGAACTCAAAAATATTCCCCAACCTATCGCCAAACAGAAATGTCGATACATTGAAAATAGAACTTACAAAACTGACAGAGATCAGTGAGTGCTTAAGTATTAAAATAGAAATTGTTTTCCACTTAAAGATTCCCCTGTTCTAAAGGAAGACTCCTTTGAATAATGTTTCTGATATATACACAATCCTCAGATACACACCAGCTAACCCAAATAAAGCAGTCAGAGATTCGGATTCTACATTCTTCATCTCATACATTTCTAAAATCACAGTTTACATTTGGGCAGTAAATTTTAGTTATTGTATAGAAATTAGTGAACCACGCCACGTCAAAGATATATGTAATTTGTAATGACATGGCTGTTGAAAAGAATAATTGCCTACATTTCTAAATAAAAATTCTAATTAGAGAATATTTCTAATTTTTGTTTTTTAACATATAGCCAATAGAATTTTGCATTTAAGAATAACACTTATAATGATGATTAGTACCTCTGAGTGGGTAGGACCTGAAAAGACCAATTTGGATATAAATAACATTAGTAACACTATTAAGACAAATTCATTTAAAGCAAGGAAAGCTATGTTTGTGTTACTTTTCCCAAGATTCTTCCTTGTTTGCAAACATTAAGATATTCCTTAGGTACATTAGGCTAGTTCTCCAATAGCTACACATTTACCGTTCCAAGGACAGCGGTGAGAATTCCTGTGTGGTAGTGCTCCCCAGCTAGGTGAAGCCCAGGGCACACTTCCTTACCACTCTGCTCAACAGTGTACTTGGTGCACTACACTTGCCTGTAGCGATTTCTTTCCTTATCCCCTGGAGTAACTTTCATTTTTCATGATAACAAATATATATATATCCACTTCTTCACAGACCTTTTCTAAACACAGTCCACCCTAAGACAATCTTGCAATTATTATTCAACCACATTTTGGAGGCAGAGAAAAATAGGGAAGACAGAATTCGTAAAAGGATAGATTCACTTACCCCAAGAAGCAGGGGAGGAGCAGCCAGAGAACAGACTATAGAATTTGCATAAGCTTAACACAGTCCAAATTTATGAAGATTCTGTTTTCCCAATATACTTCTAGAAGTTATATTAGGACTTCATGTGCTCCATGTTTGTTTCACAAAAGCATGTCATATAAGACAAATGACTGATATTCCACCTAATTAATATCCCAAAGGGAGCCAATTCTAATGTAGCTATGCCACTAGGCAGCTCCAAAACAAATGCCCCAAGCACATTATAAAACAACTCGAATATAAATAAAGACCATTTTAGAAAGATATAGATCCTCATAGTAAAGGAGTGTGGTTTAGAATAAATCAGGTTAGAAGTAATTCTTACGACACTTGATTTTACTGAGATCCTCAATTCACAGGACATTCGGGTTTCTTCAAACAAAAACATAACTCAAAGTTGAAGACTTGATGGAAAAATTTAGGATTTACAGCAGAGCCCTGACAACTCCTCTAATTACAGCATCTCAAAACGGAAGGGGAAATAAAACACTATCTAGAATGCTTGCTGCAAAATGTTTTCCCAGAAACGAAATTATTAACAATTACTTTGGAGTCTGAAGAGAACTATTTACAAACTATTTACCTATTACTCTTTCCAGTTTACGTTTGCACTACAAAACTATCATAAAAATGATAGTAACATTAACTATCACATGCCAGCCAGGAGTGGTGGCTCACGACTATAATCCCAGCACTTTAGGAGGCCAAGGCAGGCGGATCACTTGAGGTCAGATGAGACCAGCCTGACCAACATGGTGAAACCCCGCCTCTACTAAAAATACAAAAATTAGCCGGGCATGGTGGCAGTGCCTATAATCCCAGCTACTCGGGAGGCTGAGGCAGGAGAATCGCTTGAACCTGGGAGGCAGAGGTTGCAGTGAGCTGAGATCGCGCCATCGCACTCCAGCCTGGGGGACAAGAGCAAGACTTTGTCTCCAAAAAAAAAAAAAAAACTATCACATGCCTATGACTCTCCAACTCTGTGATGTATTCTGTACATCACAGAATGTTGACCAGAAACAGTAGTTCATGCTGAAAAGATTTTTAAAGTCTACCAACTCTCACTCAGCTTTGGCCCACCAGAAATCAGTCATCCCTACAAGAAACACATTCCCTTCTACCTTCTACCAGGCCACCAGGGAGAGGCAACAAAGCATTTTCCTTCTGAACCTTCTAAGCACTAATCCCTCTCTTCAAGGCAGAGAATGACCACTATCATTTAATTGACTGGCAAAATGTTTAGTCAGAGCCAAATTGATAGAGCCATGAGAAAAGTGTGGAAACAGATGTGAATTGTTGCTCTTGTTTGGCAGAGCAACAAGAGCCAAGACCAGCTCTCTGCAAACCCATAGTGAAGTCACTTGGTCTGGGGAGCTCAAACACTTTCAGCACAAAAGTTCCACAAGACAATGAAAGTAAGTACACTACTGGGGAAAGAAAGAGAAGCACCATTATTAGCTTGACAATAGAAGACCTCAAATCTTCATCAACGTAAGAGTTCACCGAGGCATAAATAAACATTAGCACAATTGGTATGTGTCTTTTATTTTTCCATATAAACCAATGGTTCTTAGGCTTTTGGGGTAACAGACTCACACCCTCCTCTTTAAGAATCTGACGTAAGCTTCCTTATAGAAAAACACACACACACAAAAGTTGCATATAACTTCAGAGTATTTCTGTAAGCCCAGCTAGAATCCCAGTTTTAGAAATGCCTCCTTGAAACCTTATTTCTCTCATATTTATACATATTTGGTCTTTTGAAAAAAGAAATGTAATATAGAATGAAACAGTATTTTTTAACTACAACTTTCTTCAGTAAGAATCCATTTCAATGCAACAAAATCAGATTAAAAGCAATTTTGGGCCAGGTATGGTGGCTCACATCTATAATCCCAACACTTTAGGAGGCCGAGGTGAGTCGATCACTTGAGTTCAGGAGCTCAAGACCAGCCTGGCCAACATGGTAAAACCCTGTCTCTGCTAAAAATACAAAAATTAGGCCAGGCACGGTGGCTCACACCTGTAATCCCAGCACTTTGGGAGGCTGAGGGGGGCTGATCACCTGAGGTGAGGAGTTCGAGACCAGCCTGGCCAACATGGCAAAATAGCTGGCCATGGTGGTGCACACCTGTAATCCCAGCTACTCAGGAGGCTGAGAAAGGAGAATCACCTGAACCCAGAGGCAGAGGTTGCAGTGAGTGGAGATCGCGCCACTGCACTCTAGCCTAGGTGACAGAGCGAGACTCCGTCTCAAAAAAAAAAAAAAAAATTAGCGGGGTGTGGTCGTGTGTACCTATAATCCTATCTATTTGGGAGGCTGAGGTGAGAGAATCGCTTGAACCAAGGAAACGGAGGTTGCAGTGAGCTGAGACTCGCCATTGCACTCCTGCCTGGACAATGTAGTGAGACTCCATCATAAAAAAAAGAAAGAAAAACACTAACTTTCATAATGTGTAAATAATTTTACTTCATTTTACAAAGAAACCAACCAAGAAGGCAACAATGTACAATAAATTTCCATTTATCCTAAAAATCAGAAAGTCCTGCCTGTTAACTAATTTGATTCTTTATTAACATGCAAATCGCCAGTTCCAAAAACACTCAAATGCTATAACCTGATATGATGATCACACTGAACATAATTTAATCTATGCTAACACAGAAAATACAAGATCTTTCAACTCATGGGATCATCATTAAAATGCCAACTGTATTATGCAGAGTGAAAGTCTTATATTAACTGAAATGAATCTACACTGATATATTTGGAATGCTTTTTAAAAGCAATTTTTTCTGACATCAACTTATTTACTTGTCAGTTGTTTCTTCCTCTTGAAAACAGAGTCCAAAGTGTGCTTCCTTTCCTCATATAAATCAAAATGCACTACTGGACCCTTTTGGTTTGGTTGCCATAAATGGAGAATGACTGCGTCTGGGCCTCCGCAGTTCATTAAAGAACTACGCACAAGTGGTTTACCTGCTCCGCTCGTAGCTGCGGTGGCGAGATGGTGTTCTCCCTCGGTCATAATCAATTCTGTACCGGCTGTCTTGTCTTCTCCTGTCAGGACTGCGGCCTCGCTCCCGCCGATCCAGGGACCGATGCCTCTCACCTCGCCCATGACTGTGATCTCGGTGCCTGTGATCATCATAGTGTTTCAGCCTTTCTGGGGACCTTCTCTCACTGGGAGCCTTTGGGAGTGGGTATGGAGGGAGATGTCTGAAATGAGGACTACTGCTGTTATTAGCACTGGGCAAGAAAGAACTAGGGTTGTTCTGGAAACTATTAAAACTGGGAGGTGGGAAGTTGTGGTGAGAATAGCCCGGAGGGTACTGATAATTAACCTGCTGCGGCATTACTGGAGGGGGCGGGGGATGAGGCATGGAGGGAGGGGGCATCATGAAGGGGAAAGTGCCTTGTCCAGGAGGTGCCCCAGGGACTGGGGGGTTATTAGGACAAGGCATTGGTGGTGGCATGGGAGGAAAACAAGGAGGAACTGGGAAGGGATGCCTCATCTGGTGGTTGGGGAAAGGAGGCCTGATTGGGCAGGGGGGAAGAGGGCCTTGTGCTGATGGAGGCATGGGTGGGGGGAAGGGTACAAAGTCTGGTCGTGGAGGGAGAAAATTAGGGGCTGGAGAGTTTGAGAAAGTGGTGGAAGGGACACTTGGAGGTTCATATTGATATTGCACAGGAGGCTGCTGAGGGTGAAGCAGTCTTAGATTTTGGGGCCTAAAGGATGGTGCTGAGGGTCTGGCTCCATGTCCTCCTCGTCCTCGGGGACACCCTCGTCCCGGGTGGAATGACATTCTGTGACTTCATGGCATAAAAGAAAAAGGGAAAAGTTTTTTTAAAAAAATAATCCTCACTATGTAAACAGGGTTTCACAAATGCCTGACCATCTTGATGAGCAACTCAAAGACCCCCTAGTCAAGCCACTGGAATATACCACCCATTTAACACTGAGTTCCTGCTAATATCTGAAACCCTCATGCTCAATAAACTCCTCTTCCCCTTTCTTGGCCACACAGCCCACTGCCATGTTTAGTCCCTGGACCGACCATTCCTTAAAGCTGCTCCATTTCCAAAATGACGAATTCAATATCCCATTGTTCACCATTTGCTATTATGCCTTTGCTCAAGTTCCCCTCTGATCTTGACCTCACAAGAACAAGGGGGCTTGCCTCCCCAGACCCCGCTCCCACTTCCAAATGCATATTTGGGATTACCACCCTCCCTCTGCAATCCTCCACCTCTCCCAGCTACCAGACCCATTACATCAGCATTTGAAAGTGCTCGGGTCTATTCCAATATAAAGTACTTTCGTTGGCCTCCAGGTCTCCCTTGACTTTGCCCGTTCTTTGCCCTTCCCTTCACAGTCAAATGACCTGAAAAAGTTGCTACAGACTGAATGTTTGTGTCCACCCCAAAATTAATGCTGATAAAACCCTAATGCTGATGTGATGCTATATGGAAGTGGCGACTCTGAGAGGTAATTATGATAGGATTAGTACCGTTATAAAGAGAGGAAGAAAAAAGAAGCCCCCGCCACCCACCCCTTGCCAGGTGAGACTACAACAAGAAGGCAGCTACCTACAAGGCAGGAGGAGGGCATGCATCAGAAATCTGGCTGTGCTGGTACCCTGATCTCAGACTGCCAGCCTCCAGAACTGTGAGAAATAAATGTTTACAGTTTAAGTTACCCAGTCTGTAACATTTAGTCATGGCAGCCCAAGCTAAGACAAAACCGTATATACTTCCAACTCACTCTAATCCAACTTCAGCTTCTACCAGCACTCCAATAAGTGACATGATCAGTGTCCACCTTGTCTTGAAAACCAAAGGTCATTTTCAATTACCTTGCTTGATCTCTGTGCAGCAATCACCCCAGATACCTCCCTACTTGCCTCCCTAGCCCCCACCCCCATGGATGCGTTTCTTGGCTTCCTGACATGACGCCTTCACTGTGGCCTTCCTACTCCTCAGGCTGTTCCTCCTGGCAGTCTCCCATACCAGCTTCTTCTCTGCTAGCGGGACTTTAACCGTCTGGTATTCCTGGGGTCTAGCCCAGGTACTCTGCTCACTCTCTCTTCCAAAGTGATGCTACCCACCTGCACTGCTTCAATTAACACCAATCTGTCAGTAACTCCCAAGTTACACCTTTAGCCCACAACTCCTGAGTTCCAGACCCACCCTGCCAACTGCCAACCCCACCTCTCTCCTTGAGTGTCTCACTGACTCTGCAAATTCAACATACCATATGCTAAAAGGAATTAATGACCTTCCCCTCCAAGACAAACATTTGCTCTTTTCCTAGTATTTCCTATCTCAATAAATGACACCATTAATGGTCCTAAGACATATACCAGGGAATCATCTGACTTGTCCTCCCTCACCCCCCATCCTTAGCTAAAAATTTATTTTAAAATTGCTATCACTTATACGGCAACTATCCCTTAATAAAAAAATAAAGAAAAAAATCCTATTGTTTCTGCTTCATAAATATTTCCTGAATTCAACTACTTCACACCATCACCTCTCGCATGGCTATTACAATAATATCCTTGCTGGCCTTTCTATAACCACTGTCACTGACCCCAGGGCTTCGTTAGGTTCCTTGCTCTCACAATCCTCTGTGCTGCTTCTTGGCAGGTCCTACAATAATTACAATCCACCTACTAAGGACCTAATTCCACCTTCTTTTTTTTTTTTTTTTTTTGAGATGGAGTCTTGCTCTGTGGCCCAGGCTAGAGTGCAGTGGCACGATCTCCGCTCACTGCAAGCTCCGCCCCCCAGGTTCATGCCATTCTCCTGCCTCAGCCTCCCAAGTAACTGGGACTACAGGCCCCTACCACAATGCCCGGCTAATTTTTTTGTATTTTTAGTAGAGACGGGATTTCACAGTGTTCGCCAGGATGGTCTCGATCTCCTAACCTCGCGATCCACCCACCTCGGCCTCCCAAAGTGCTGGGATTACAGGCGTGAGCCACCACGCCCGGCCCTAATTCCACCTTTAATGTCTGCCTGCACCTCGGAACTGCAAGCGCTATCAGGGTGGTGCTCTGGGATGTCTATTAACTGTTCTGGTCTGGCTTCCTAGCCCTGTGCATGGCCCTCTGTTGTATTGTGCCCACTGCTGAAAGAATGAGCACATTATTCCCTCTCCCCATGTATCTAAATCCTTTCCACCCTCCATAGCCCAGCACCAATGTTTGCTCCTCTCTCGGTTCTCCCAAACTACTGCCATTCCCATCACAGCACTCACCATGTGTTGCCCTGCATCATGACGTACCGCCTGGGTATGTCACATCTTCCACAGAGAATATAAGCTCTAAAAAACAGAAAGAATAAAACAGACATAAATATGTTTCCCAAACTTCCAATGCTACAAAATATTTCTGCAATTACCATAACACTGATTTTGCAGTTTCCAATACACTTAGCCTACTAACAAAATTCAAAGTATGTTGAACTGTATTAAAGTTTCCAGCTAAATTTTTAATGTCCTTAAATTTTAAAATGTCATTATTACCAGTTTTGCCAACTCAAAACTATCAGCAGCTAAAAAGACTTATATCATAGGCACAGATCATCTCTAATTTGTTAAAAGACTTGGGAAAAAAATAATTTCCCCTCTCCCCCTTCATACTCTCACTTCCTTCATGGTAAAAACATGTAGGCATAGGCCGGGCGCGGTGGCTTACGCCTGTAATCCCAGTACTTTGGGAGGCCAAGGCAGGCGGATCACAAGGGTAGGAGATCAAGACCATCCTGGCTAACACGGTGAAACCCCGTCTCTACTAAAAATACAAAAAATTAGCCAAGCGTGGTGGTGGGCACCTGTAGTCCCAGCTACTCGGGAGGCTAAGGCAGGAGAATGGCAAGAACCCGGGAGGCGGAGCTTCACACTCCAGCCTGGGTGACAGAGAGAGGCTCCGTCTAAAAAAAAAAAAAAAAATGTAGGCATAGACCAAACACAAAAATCACAGTGCGACCAGCATTCAAATTCAAATATAACCATAATCTTGTTAACACAACAGTTATGATTCTTGATTTTCATTCTCAGTTCCTCCCACAGAAAAACACTGTAAACATGAATGATTTTCCAAATACTTGAACTTCAGCAAAACATTAAAAAAAAACTCACATAAATATTGAGTACAAAAAGCTTTAACATAGAAACATTTTCCTAAAGTCTTTCTAACTAAAAGTCTCACCAATAGAACTTAACTATGTAGACTTTCAAATGGCCAATGAAAATAATTTCAGATTATCTTAGCAATCAGTGTGCTTAATAAATAATAGGCACCAAATAATATCTTTTTTTTTTTTTTTTTAGAGACAGAGTCTCACTCTGTCCCTAGGCTGGAGTGCAGTGGTGCAATCATAGCTCACTGCTGTCTCTTACTCCTGGGCTCAAGCAATCCTCCCATCTTAGCCTCCGAAACAGCTGGAACTACAGGAGTGAGTCACTGTGCCTGACTCCTGACTATTATTATCTAGTCCAGTACCCTCATGATAAACCTAGGGCCCAGACAGGTGCTCCTGAGGCTACTTACCACCAACAGAATCAAGTTCAAAGTCTGTGCTTGGCATTTAAGGCCCTACAGACTCTGCACCCAGGCTTGTTCTCCAGTACCTTCCCCACAAAGACCCTACTACCCCATGTTTTCCCAACGGATTACCATTCGAGTACAAAGAACCAGTTAGTTCTTTGCTCCCGTTCTACTTCTAAAATTTCTCACCCTAGGCAGAGGTTGCAGTGAGTTCAGATCGCACCATTGCACTCTAGCCTGGGCAACAAGAGCGAAACTCCATCTCAAAAAAAAAAAAAAAAAAAATCTCCCAACATATGAGTCTGCCCAGTGATTTTTCTATCTATCTACCAATCTTAAATGCCACCTCCTCTATGAAGCCCTTCCTGATTCCCTTAGGTAATCCCATTCCGTCTAGACTTAGTCTATACTTAATTCTTCTACAGCACTTACCAGAGGCTGCCTCACATCACAGTGAAGTATGCACATGTCTAACTCCTCCACTAGATTATCAGCTCCTTGATGATATGGGTTGATTCACAGTCATTTCTGTATCCTTCACATCCCCAGGAAAAGGAACCTACACACAGTTGGTGGTCAATATATGTTTACTGTCTCACCAATAGTATATGTTTCCATGTTGCTACTGTACATTTCCCTTCCATGTATCTCTGCAACAGAAAGCAGACCTTTTCACTGATTCATGCAATATTTAATGAGCCATACATGGGAAGTACTATCCCTGGCCTTGTAGACTCAGAGATAAGTAAGACACACAGCCTGTAGGATTCAAGGAACTCAGAACCCACATACAAGTAAGTATTTTAAAAATACTTGCAAAATAATGCAATAAACACACAAAAAAGAGGTATGTTCAGGGCTTAAGGGAACACAAAGGTGTGTGCTGCACCTAGGGGTGGGAAAAGTCATTGTCATGAACACTCTTGCACAGTGTGAAACTGCCAGATCCTCATGGATGTTTCTGTAGTTAGAAAATCTAAAAATACTAATCATGAAATTGACCTATTGAAGGCATAGTCCGGCTATGTTGTGGATGCAGACTTTAATTCAAAAGTCAAGGAATTCACTGCAACTGGAAAAGTAACTCTTTTCTCCGTCTGTCTCTTCTCGGTTGCGGTTTGGAAGCAGAGACACTGAGGGAGCTGTCTTGAATAGTTAACACAGCCAGGAACGTCAGTGCATGTAAAAAGAATTGTAAAGTGTGACTACATTTTTACTGAGAACTCCCTCTTTCCCCAGGTGGAGCTGCAGGGCAGTCACCTTCATCCTGATCCGTAACTGCATATTTACTGTTTGCATCTCCCGCCAGACGCTGCGCCCCACGAGGCAGGCGCTGAGCTCAGGATCTCGCTCCCCTCCGAGAGCCGGACGGCCCCAGGCCTGGACCATAGTGTGTGCTCCACAAATGAAGGAAAGGTCTCCTTTTTCACTTCCACCTACTTGCGGGATCCAGGCCTAGGGTCGCTGTTTTGCCCTTAGCTGCAGATCTGAAGTAGGGCTTCCCGACCCCAATTCCCGGACGCCTTTCACCCCAGCCCCGGAGACTCCAGCCCCGTTTAAATCCTGACACTCGGAAACTCTCTTCGAACACTTGCAAGGTCCCCTTTTACCTATAAAAGGCTCTCGGGCCACGAGGTCGCCGTCAGAGAAAAGCCAGGCTACTACTCCAGGCACCAAGACAGTGGCGCCGCCCGCGCCTCCGGAACAGGAAACCGAGGGAATTAAAAAGCAAACCTGAGACAGCTGGGCCAAGGGAGGGAAAACGCTTCAGCCCACCACAGGCCTTGTACGCGGTGATTGGCGCTTCAATGAAAGCGATGGACGTCTAGACCAATCGTCAGCAAAAGACCCTTTGGAGCCCGCCCCCCTCCTTCTACGTCCTCCAATCCAAAAACACAACCGGGTGAGGGAGCGCGTCCGCCCGGAGAGGGAAGGCCGGGTTGAGGCGCCGGCTTTCCCGGGTCTTCTCCAGCTGCCACCGCTTTGCTGCAAAGCTGACGGGCGCAAAAACATGAGTGACTCCGCGGGAGGGCGCGCTGGTCTTCGGCGTTACCCCAAGCTCCCAGTGTGGGTGGTGGAGGATCATCAAGAGGTGAGTGGACGGCGGCCGGGCTCTGGGGCAGAATCAGCGGAAACCGTGACGCTCAGAGGGCCAAGCAGACGGCGCAACCTTAGCATCGGAGGCCAGAGAGTCTGGCCTCCCGATTCAGTTAAACTGCCCGATTCCGTTGCTGTGGGGAGGACCCCAAAACAACTAACTAGGAAGAATGAGAACTGACATTTATGGGCGCTTCCTACGTGTCGGGGCAACTTATTTACCTCGGTTTGCCCCCAAATCCCAGGACCAAACAACTGGTGGCGTCGGGATTCAAACCCGGACAGGCTGGCTGCAGAGCCCTGTGACCGTAACCTGCAATTAACTGTGGCTTCCAAGTGTCTCCTGGAATCGCCATCACAGCCCTGCTGTTTAGATGGGAGGCCTTATGCTTGAAACGTGGGCTCTGATCTGAAATGGGGACAGTAATCGTAGGACTCACAGGGCTGTTAGGAGTATTATTGTGTGCATATTGTGTTTAAAACTCTTTTTTCTTTCTTTCTTTCTTTTTTGAGACGGAGTCTCTCTCTGTTGCCCACACTGGAGTGAGTGGCGCGATCTCGGCTCACTGCAACCTCCGCCTCCTGGGGTCGAGCGATTCTCCTGCCTCAGCCTCCTGAGTAGCTGGGATCACAGGCACACATCACCGTGCCCAGCTAATTTTTGTATTTTTAGTAGAGAAGGGGCTTCGCCATGTTAGGCAGGATGGTCTGAACGTCTGACCTCACATGATCGGCCCCCGTCGGCCTCCCAAAGTGCTGGGATTACAGGCGTGAGCTACTGCACACGGCCCATATTGCGTAAAAAAATATATATATTTTAAGACAGTGCCCTGCATAGATAAACACTAAAAGGGGTTTCCATGTTTATGGCCGTGCTGATTTACAGTAGCTAAATTAGTGTCTTAATCTAGACTTTTCCAAGTCAACAAAGGAGGCCCATGGATCTAATAAATTTGTTTTAAAGTAGCATCCGTAGGCTTGGGATGGGAGGCGGTTCTATGGATGTTAAAACATAAGAGGGATTTACTGATAGTGACAGTTAATAGGAGAGGAAGATAGGTTTCTCAGGACCTGGATATAGTGTCTATGACCTTGAGAGAATGAGAAAGCCTAGGTTAGATGGTGCTTTCAAATTAGGTATTAAACCTAGAATTAGACAAGATGTAAGAGGAGAAATGGCCTTTATGGACCACCTAGCCCAACTCCACCATTCTAAGGGTACCAAAAAGACCCTAACCAGTCTGGACAGCAGAGCGAAATCCCATCACTACAAAAATAGAAGTGAAAAAATTAGCCGGGCGTAGTGGTGCATGCCTGTAATCCCAGCTACTCAGGAGACTGAGGTGGGAGGAACGCCTGAGCCCAGGAGCCCAAGGCTGCAGTGAGCCATGATCACACCACTGCTCTCCAGGCTGGGTGACAGAGCAAGACCCTATCCCTTTTTAAAGGAAAAAAAAAAAATACTTTGAGACCTAGGATACCTTAAACACCTAGTTAATGTTAGAACAGGCATTAAGCGGTAGTTTGTTCCTAAGCCCCAGTCCTGGTCTGTTTCCCCACATGACCTGTTGAGTTGGAGGTGGCAGCAGGAAGGCAGCTAGAGGTGCAGGTTGGAAGTTCTGAGGACAAAGTAATGCTGGAGATTATTATCATCTGCACCATCTACAATAAATTTTATCTTTTTCCACTTTTCAGCAACATAGTATGCTTTCAATTATGTGCATTACTTAGCATTTTTCAGTCTGCAGTTGAGTGTGTGCTCATGGTTTCAGTGTTAATTCTGATTATGTGCCTGTGTCTTTTACAGGTTCTACCCTTTATATACCGGGCCATAGGCTCAAAGCATCTTCCTGCCAGTAATATAAGTTTTTTACATTTCGACTCACATCCAGACCTCCTTATTCCTGTGAATATGCCAGCAGACACTGTGTTTGATAAGGAAACACTCTTCGGGTAATATGTGATTTTATTCATGGTCTTTTGTGTTTGAAGTACAATTTGTGGTAGATAATAAGTAATTATAGGAAATAGACTTTGCGAAACTCATGGGTTTGGGGGTTTTTTGTTTGTCTTTTTGCCTTTTTCATTTTATTTAGAACAAGTGTTGATAACTTTCTTAAAGAGCCAGGTTAGTGAATATTTTAGGTTTGCTGGCCATATGGTCTTTGTTGCAGCTATTTACCTTTGCCTTTGTAGTGTGAAAACAATCATAGGCACTGTGTAAACAAATGATAGTAGCTGTGTTCCAATAAAACTTTATTTACAAACTGGGCATGGTGGATGAGCCTGTAGTCCCAGCTACTCAGGAGGCTGAGGTGGGAAGATCACATGAGGCCAGCAGTTCCAGGCTGTGGTCAAGCCTGTGGATAGCCTCTGCACTCCAGACTGGGCAACATAACCAGACCCCATCTCTTAAAAGAAACAAACCAAAAAAACTTTGCTTACAAAAACAGCCTGGCCAATGTTTAATCCTGTTAATATTTGCCTTTATAGAGACCATTGTCTATTTCTTTATAGAGACTAAATGTCTATTTCTGCATTTAGTCCATTGCCGTATGTTGTTTTGGTTGAAAAATATGATGAAAATTCAGGCTTTCACAGACATGTAATTGGAAAAGGAAAGCATATTTTCATAGCCTCTTCAGATAATTGTGAATATTCTTTGATAGTGCACCAAAACTTGAAAAGTAGTAGTTTATTAAAGCTTATTTGAAATGTAAAATTCAGCAATTCAGTATCAAGTGTGAATAATCATAGTTTATTGATCACTCCTTTCAAGATAAATGGTGTTCACCTCAAATTTCAGTCACAAGTGCTTTTTGTTGAGACAACTGTTGTGCTTCAAACTACATAGCAGGAGAGCTTTCTGTGCATCTCTCATTTTGTCACAGAATATTTTAAAATGTATACTCAAGATGGAAATTTAATAAAATCAAGATGTTCTCAAATGAAACTTTTATATTTATTTATTTATTTATTTATTTTGGCAGTGCTTGGTAATGAGGAATATAGTAACTACTAACAGTTTGGTGCTGCTGCCTTAATTAATGTTGGAACATTAACCCACCAGTGCCTTTGTACCATCTTTGCAAATGTCAATAAATGAAAGCAGGAGATAATACCTTAGTATTTTCATGAAAATAGTTTTGTAATAGTGATGTCCCTGAAAAAGTCTCAGGAACCATTCAAGGGACCACACTTTGAGACCTGTGGTCTTAAAATGTTGTGGATGAAATTACACTTGGGGGAAAAAAAAACACCTTTAAAGTTCTAATGTTGTCTATTTCTTTTCCAGAGAATTAAGTATTGAAAATTGGATTATGCCTGCGGTTTATGCTGGCCATTTTTCACATGTAGTATGGTTTCATCCCACATGGGCTCAGCAAATCAGAGAGGGAAAACACCACTTTTTAGTAGGTAAAGACACTTCTACCACAACAATCAGGTAATTTCCTCATATTTGTGAATATGGACATGATTGAATGTTTCTTATTTCGGATTCCTATAATAACTTCATAAGTCTCTGCACACAAATAGGATCAGATTAAGCCTCAACTTCTCCAAAGAGTTCTCAAAACATGAAGAACAAACTTTTAAGTCTCTTGATGTTCTTCATGTACCATTTATATTTAGTTGCTGGTCAAATTAGATTTTGAATGTGATCTTTATCCTTTGGAATTTGGGCTTCATTGGTGATTAACTCCTTAAGCCACTGAAGTATTTTATAGATTTATATATTCAGTAGTACATTTTACTGTTTCCTTTCAATGTAACTGTTGTCTGCTGAATTTGCTGCGGTGGCTCACACCTGTAATCCCAGCACTTTGGGAGGCCGAGGTGGGCGGATCACGAGGTCAGGAGATCGAGACTATCCTGGCTAAAATGGTGAAACTCCATCTCTACTAAAAATACAGAAACAAAAGTAGCCAGGCATGGTGGCGGGCACCTATAGTCCCAGCTACTCGGGAGGCTGAGGAGGCAGAATGACGTGAACCTGGGTGGCGGAGCTTGCAGTGAGCCAAGATCGTGCCACTGCACTCCAGCCTGGGCAACAGAATGAGACTCCATCTCAAAAAAAAAACAATAATTAGTAGTGAAAGGGCAAAATTATCTCACTTTGATTTTTTTATAAATCCAACTGCTGAATAAGTAGATTTGGGGCTTTAATTTTCTTGATTATAATATAAGTAGTTTCAGATAAGTACTTAATCTAAAGTAAGTTACAGTATCCTCTGACTTGACATACATGTGCAACTGTTTTTATTGTGTAAGCTATTTAACCAATGTTTTGTGTATCTTGTGATACTATAATACTTTTAGAAATGTCAATATGTTCTTGACTCTAAAATTCTCTTGTAATGGGATAAATATTTTAAGCAGTATAGCCATAACATTCTAGAACCTTAGGGATAGTGGAATGAAATGGTAATACGTTGAAAATCAGATGGTCTTCCTTATTGAAAATGATACTTTATTTCTAATTTATTCTTAATGACACAATTAACTTTTGTAGTATATATTCTTATCATTCACACCAATGGCTTTGTTGTGATATATGAAAATTGTATTTATTTCAGATATAATTCAAAAGAAATAATTAAGACTCAGCATATAAATATTGTACATACTACTGGTATGTGTGAAATAGTAG